AGAAAAATGATGATCAACATGTCATCTTTCAAATTCTTTTCATTTTTTGGTGGGTTGACCATTGGCTTTTCGAGAAATTCTCGCCCAAAGAAGACAACCCCTATTTTCCCCAAAGCAGAACGGTAGTCATCTTGAAAAACAATCCCTCCACAACATGGCAAAATAGTGGCACTTTCGAGCCCAATTGTATCCAAAATGCTCAGAATTGGAAGCCCTGAGTCTGGGCCAGAGCTTCATTGCCATTTCTCTTCAATTCCCCAATGTTATGGCTCTCAGAACTCTCTAATGTAGAGTATTTTGAGGGTATAACTTTTATTCATGAGCTCGGCGGATGGGTTTAGGCCTATTTACAGGTGTGCACCCCAAAGGGTTACCTTTAATTTGGGGTCAAAGGTCAATAGATTAAGTCCTGCATTTCAAAAGGCCAGGGATTTTTTCAACAGCTTCAGTGTTTGTACAATTAGGCTTTGAATAAAATCTAATGCTTTAACGTTTGGAATTCTCTAGACCATTCAGAATCCACTGGGAAAATTTGGGAGACTTTGCAGAATTTAAGAAAATATAACCAATCCAGTTTTGCTTTTTCATGGGGCTTGATGCTCCCTTAAATTGCGAGTAGAAACTATGGGCAATGAACGGGCCTTGTATATCAGAGGATTTTAGCTGGTTTAGGGCAGTTTCAGCATAAAGCTGAGAATATTACCCTGGTAGGGTTTATGATGAATTAGAGGGTTTGTGGTTTTAGTATGAACTTAAAGATAGTATTCATTTAACCCAACTTGTATTTTATGTCATCTTCAAGATTACATGTAAGGGATGTTTATCAAAGTATTCCAGTATTTTTGCAGCGTTTGCTGAAAATGCATTGAACAAATGAACTTATTTCATTGGACACGTGTTATTTTGTATCAAATGTAACGTGTCAATACACAAGAGCTTTTCCATTCCAGCTATTATCAGGACTTCAAACATGAGTGTTGGAGCTCCAATAAGATATTATTGGATCAACAGTAAATACATTTTTGAGATTAGCAGGTCACAAATGGCATTATCACAAAGTCTCCAGTAGGTTATCTGTAATGTAGCTGGAATAAACCAGTCTATGATCCAGTATTGATAATAGGTGTGTTTAGCTTTCCACATAATTGTGCTGTAGGGACTCAACTCCATTTTTTTTTAAGATAGTCTACTCCCAAAATAAATCCACACAAACACAAAGATCTGAGCACTGTAAATGTGCATTATCTTATTTTATCTCACTTCATCCTGCACAACTAGGTTTGTTTGACATACATTATGCAAGGTTCCTGCTCCATAGGCGTGCACACACGCAATTTTCTGTGTTGCTTGTTATTTTTTATTTGTCTGCTTAGTATGTAAAACATTGTGTTGCAGATGTGTCGATTTTTTTAAAGGTGGCCATGAAATGAATTTAACACTGGAACATACTTGTAGCCATTTTCCATTCCTCTTAAATCTATAAAAAAAACTATGAAACAAAAGTTTTGCAAAGCACTTTTCAACCATTTAACATGTTTCATGCTTTTCCAGACAACTGAGGGTGCTGTTGCTGTGATGTCACTTTAGGAATATATATATATACATGTATGCTCTTCAGATTAGAGGTTTTTTCTTCAAATTGTCAGCCCAAAATTCTGCTTAGTGAAAACATTTGTGCATGAATGTTCTCATTGTCTGTCATTTACTGAAACAACAATGAGCCACTGAAAGCAGGAAAATAACCACAGCAAACCTCTAAAATTCTGGTGACGTTTTATTTTGAAGCAGACATGAAACTAAAGTTTGTGCCTTGAATGATATCACAGTTTTGCTTATGAACATGGGAATTTGCATATTAGCATAAAAAAACAAAAAGGCACCAAAATGGCTATATGAAGAATACAAATAATGTTAAATAGCAGAGTGGTACATTTCAAGGATAACTTTAAAAAAAAAAAAAAAAATCCTGTTACATGGGCCCTTTAAGCATACATGTACATGTGTAACTCTGCTTTTACTGTCAAGTGCTATAGTCCTATTGAGACATTTAATAATTAAAACAAAATATTACGCCTTCTTTCCTTGTTGACAAATTCCACTTGGCAGTGACTTTCCTTTTCACTCAGGTTTCAAAACACACAGCTGAAGAATGTGAAGTTTGTATACAAAGAGAAACTCTTTAGTTCTATGGAGGTGATGCAGGAAATGCAGCTGGCACAGTGTGCGGTAATAATGCAGTGCAAGGACACACATTGTCTGCGTGCACTGGATAGCTACATGTACAAGTACAAATAGTAGAAAGTGTGAGCAAGCAGTTTTTAACTTAATGGGCGTAAATTCCTTTTCAGGCTATTCTGTAAATTCCTGCTCTTTTTGTACGTCCTCCAACCACATGATATTGCAAGGTCATAAAGGTGGAAGTGCTTTGGTTTGGCCCGTAATTGTTCTCTCTTCATGGGCGCTTTTTGGGCACTTTTATTTTTGTTTGAAGCAACAAACTCAGAAGAAGGGTGCATAAGAACTAACCAAAATGGATACTAATCTTGAGAAATCAGGGAAAATGTATGCACATTGTTGTATCTCTTGAGTGGATTCCTTTGTTGCCTCGTGGTCTGGAGCATTGAATTCGCAGTCTGGAGGTTGTGGGTTCGAATCCAGCCTGGGAGTTGTGGTGCGTGTGTGCCCTTGGGCAAGACACTTTCTCACTCATTACTTCTCCCCACCGAGGAGTACTTGGGTACCTGTGAGGGCAGAGGTGGTTATTGTAACTGATTTTAGCTGCTTTGCGCCGAAATGGCAGCATCGAGCTGTATATCCCCTGAGGAGCTGAGGTTATTTGGAATGTTTCACTGGCCCAATGATCAAGGGTGATAATAATGTAAAGTGCTTTGATCTTAGTTAAAAGTACCTGTCATTATTATTATTAGATGGTTCTGATTCCTAAATTGCAGTTTTCTATTTTGAATTGCACCCTCTAATCCCTTAAAATCAGCACTCGGGATATGATTCTCATTCAGCCAGTTTCTATGATCTTGAAGTCTCAGTGGACGGGTACTTCTTGAAAAATCTAACGAATATCAAATTAAAAAGAAAACACCTTCAAGTATTTTTTCCTTTACAACAAAGACTAATGGTGCAGGGTATGGTATACTGGCTGTATCTTCACTTTGAGCAAAGTTTCCTTATTAAATCTGTTGGTTCGTTTCCGGGTTCATATAATGACCAATGTTTCTACACATTTGAGAAATCCCCTTTGCGATAAAGTGAAACACCTCATTCAAGCAGCAGTTCCTGGTAATGTGAGTCAGTGCAGTTCTTCTATGGAAAATTTCAGCTGTGGGAAATTCCAGTATTGTTTTATATGGAGGTTCTTTTGATCAATCTGACTCGCGTAGGTATGCTGTGGTTTTTATTCTTAATAACTACAACATTTGTGTGGCTACTTTCAAGTCAAGCATTGTCATCTATGGTACATGTAGATCTGTTTGACATTTTTCAGAATTTGTTGAGGGAAGTTTCAATATTGGATTTGTTTACCCTTCGCTGGTGTAATTTTATAAACAGTGTAGGGGCCTATACTCGGTGTTCAAGGGCCCATGAGAAAAAAGTCACAAGCTTACTCGGGTTGGACTCGAACCCATGAAGTCCTGTATACTATAGTGCAGACGTCTTGCCACGCAATCACTGAGCTTTGCCATTGATTCTATACATGTAGCAGCACGTACCAAAACTGATGACTATTTTGTGTGATGGAACTTTGAATTTTTGCCCTTCACTAATATTATTTCAGTGGATGAATAGTAAGATGTCTGCATAGTAAGCAGGAGGTCATGGGTTTGCATTCCACCCTAGAAAGCTTGTGATTTTTAAGCTCTGGCAGGAGCTTCTACAAGTACATGTCACTTGGTGGTCAGTCGATCTGTCTGTCTGTCCCCGAAAATGGACCAAAAATAATTGAATAATTGACCAAATGCAATGCCGTGGTCATAAAATGCACTCTTGATGATGGTTTTCAGAACAGCGATTTTGTTTTAATTGATGTGCATACACGTTTATTTTGCACATGTCTGTCCCCGAACATTTACCAAAATGAGCCCCATAAGTTTCCCATTCTACCAAATTTTAATTTAAAAGAAAATAGCAAATAAAATAAATTAAATACTTAACAAAAAAATGTTTGTAACAATTGGGGAAGATGTTCATGAAATGTTTGAAAATGGAGGCAAAATATGTGCGGTAATGTTCATGAGGTATTTATCACAAATCGCTACAAATCTAGGTATACATCTAAAGTATGGTGTTCCACAGTGCCATCGGCGTGGCATTTTTAAGCTCTGGAAGGAATCAGTTTGATAGATTTCATAACAGACTCATATGAAAGACTTTCATGCAAGACGGCCAGAGCTCACATGTACATGTATTGTGCACTCGCACTTGTGATTCTTGCATAGCCCATGGACAACACTTAAGTATTTGGCATTTATTACGTCATTAATGGGAAAAACAATGATAAAAACTCATCATCTCCACAAAGCAGAAATTTTCCATCATGCAAATATAGAGAGAGAAGTTTTGTTAAAGTTAATCGACAGGAAGTCTCCCCCCTCTTCCTTTCAATAACATGTTTGTGAATGTACTTTGGAGTATCTGAAAATGGACTCTACCGCATCTTTACACATACATGTACACCCACGTTTGTTTATGGTGTAAATCAAGGATTTTCTATTGTTCCTCTTCCCTTTTCCTTTGTTTATACTCTAACTTTTTTGCAACAGCTCTCATTGATTTTGTACCGTACTTTTCTAATCGAGGTCGTCCTCGATTTGGTTCCTGTCCTCGATTCACCGATGATGTTGCACGTGTGTGTCCTCGATTTACACCATAAACAAACGCATGTAACTCCCCATGTCTAAAATGTTAAAAGGCATTTGCTGTATAATTTTTTTGAAACAGAGAATTGAACTTGTGTCTGCCATTATCTCTTGTCTTTAAATGTTCAGGTCTTATTTGAAGAGATAATTGGACATATCTGTAACTTGTACGTCTGGTGGCACGACACACTGAGATTTCTTCGGGACGGTCAAGATGTGAATGTATTGCATTGCCGTTGCGTGCATTATGTCTTGACATCATGATGTGAGCAATCCTCTGGGCCCAAGATGACTTCCACCATGGTGCCTGCCAATGGCATCTCTCCAGACCCGGTCAACACCAGTATCCATCCTGATGTTGTGCGTCAGGGATGCTTCTGTGACTTTGATGCTATCGCTTGCACAAGGTAAATGCTGCTCTGCTTGGTCAGTCCCGGCTGAATTGTCAAGGGCAACGTCTTGTTTATGGACAATTGTGTAGTTTTGGGCCCCTCTTTAGGCCAACAAAAAAAATAGTTATGCTTTTGGTTACCCTACCTACCCTATTTTGACAGCCCCCACCCTAAACAATTCAAAACCATCAATTACTACAATTTACCCTTGACTACACACCTCCATATGATCGTAAACGAAAAATGCCCAAAAAATTAAATTTCCCTACCTACCTACCCTATTTTCAGATGCCATGTAATCGGAAGCAGAACTATTTTTTTTGGCCTTAGTTTTGGTCAAGTTAGAGTCAAGAGTGTTTTTAATCATTCCAAAATGGCTTCTGCAACCTAAAGTAGAGTTACATGTATCTTAATTCTAGTGTCACTATTTTTTTATACTTTTAAACATTTTGGTAGAAAATGTGGTTTTCTCACGCATTTTACAGTTGATAGGGCCTATGCCCTGCAAAACAATGTGGTTTTTGCACATTCCCATGCGGTGATCGTCATCTTTACTTTCGTGTTGCGTTTTGTCATCTTCGTCATCGTCTTACCCCAACATTTCCCTCAAAAAATCACCCCGCCCTCTTTATGACATTCCTGTTGGTTTTAAATGTCGCTAAGTAGTTTGATAAGTCCAATAAACTTGGATTTTTATTCTGTAAAAACAGGGCCCATAACTACACAATTGCTTGATTATGCAGACAAACTGCTCAAGAAAATGTACTAGACTCAATAGATTTCTTTTCAACATGACCAAGTGAATGTTCAAACAAAAAAGTCTTTCAAACGATGGAGAACATACAATACATATATGTACATTTTGTATGTGTACTTTCTGAGACACCACACCAACTTGGCTTTTGAATGATTGCATGATTTATGTAAAGAAACGTGAGAAATTTGCGTTGCTTAAGCTACATACGTTCAAAAGTTCTTGGATATTTTGTGCTGTATGGTTCGGCCAATGAGATGTAGTCATCTTGTTGAGGAAACCTCCAAGACTATTTTTGTAATGATTTTTTTTTAGCAAGGCAGAGCAAGACAGAGAACTTCCCTGAGTTTAAATTAAGCATCTTAGTAAACCAGGCAACATATCACACACAAGTAAAAAAAACCTGTCTGTTTTTCCAGCCCAGATATTGTGTTCACTCTATATAATATATCGTTCGTTATCTGATCTTCTGCATTATAATTATATATCAGGCATTTATTATCCAATTTTGTTCCGGTTGTTTATTGTGATAGTTTTTTTTTTTTTTTTTTTTTACATGTATCATGCAAAACGTTTTGAAGGCATTTGTAGTGTTTACATGTATACATGTATGAAATGGTACATGTAATTTAGTTGTTCTTCAAAAAAAAATTTATCGTGTACATTGTGAAAATACAGGAGGTTTTTGAAATCTGCAACATCCATTGCTTTACTTATAAATTTAAGTTCACATAATTTCCAATTTGTTATTGCAAAATGGATCTTATTACAGTACATTGTTATTATGACACACTAGTACATGTACATGTACATTGTTATTATTGCTAGCAATAGCAGTCAGGAAGTTGATATGAAGGACAGCAGATTTGACAATGTGGGTCTTGACTTGAAAGAAATTCATGAAAGAACCGAACTTGTCATCTTTTTCTTCCTTTTTTTGCCCAAATAAAATGACGTGCCCAAAATGTCCATGACGTGCTTTCAGGGATGGTTGACTCGAGACGCTCCATACATGTTAATACCACTGGTGACCTCAGGAACAATAGACATTGCCAGGGTGTGTTGGCATGCAACAATGGAATTTTTTATTGATATTTTACAAGTACACTGAACTCAGAGTTTGCAGAAATAAAAATCAAGTTTGTGTGGTTCCATCATATACATGTATGACGCTATTATTTTTGGGCAGAAGCTACCCCATAGTACAATGCATGTAAAGAATTGTATCTTCTGTGTTTAATATTGGTTGCATTAATTTTCCTTTTAAGCTTTTTGTTTTGTTTTGTTTTGTTGTTAGATTCATGTAGGTTTTGGTGACTCCATAACAGAATTGCAAAGAGTTCAAAAGATTCAATAATAATAATAACAAGCATTTGTATAGCACTTTTAAATGGGGTATCAAAGCGCTTTACAATTGTTATTACCCCTGTTCAATGGGCAAACACTCCTGAAACCTTCTCAACTCCCTGGGGAGCATACACGGCTGGTAGGCAACCATTTCGGCGCTCTTGGACGTAATCAACATCTCACATTAACCATCTCTGCCGTCACAGCCCATCTATCATGTCTATTCCTGGGTGGGGAGAAGCAATGAGTGACAAAGTGCCTAGCCCAAGGGCACACGCACCATAACCCCAGGCTGGACTTGAACCCACGACCTGCAGAATTACCCAAAACCCACAAATTCAATGCTCTAGACCCCAAGGCCACAGCACTCCACAAATGAATTGAAAGGAATCCTGATTCCACCTTTTAATGAATAGACTCCAATTTTCCTGGAGATGTGATTTCATGCAGATCGACACATAAAACAAATTTTCTGTGGTAAACGAATAAAGAGAGAGATACAGTTTCGTGGCTCTGCAAACCACACAATACCGCGCTTTACGATCAGTAATTCTGTGCTAACAGTGCTAGTGAAAAAAAATTCTTTGCTAACCAGTCAGTACAGAATCCTCTAATAGTTACGGGACACTTGGGCATAGGCCAACATTCCTCCCTAACCAGGGAAATATGCTAATTGTATGCACATTTATATTTTCTTCTACGTTCATTTAAGCAGGGATTTTTTGCTAACGGATAAGCACCTAGCCAAGAAATTGCCCTGATTACACCTGAAGTGATATATATGTATGTAAAGTGAAGGGTTTTCACAACACTTTGTGCTGGTCAAATAGGGTATTGATTCCAAGAAGATGTGTGACTCCCAGACAAAATTGGAATCGAGTCAAAAGTATTTGCCCAGAAGCTTATTTTTATCGGGACATAATTATTCCTCCCCACAGTTATCATCACTTAAAACCCACTCATTGCATGCAAACATAGATTATATTTCCCAGAAACAATTTTTATAGGAAAAGAAAACAACTTAGTTTTTCAAGGTTTTGTACTAATTTTACATGGCTGGAAATTCCCTGTCATACACCGAGCAGATCTCAAGTACAAGGAAAAAAGCTATCTCTTACAATTGTACATGTATGTGGAAAGCCTTCCTACATACAATGTACGTGTACATCACACTTAGCATGGATTAACATGTACATGTACATGCTAGTGTAAACAATTGGGAAATTTTAAAGGGACGCTCAACTTCAAGAATCATGTTGTAAATTGGGGATCAAACAGTAAATGTACACGTAGTGAAGTGGTATGATTTTAAGTATTAAGAGGAGGCAATCTAAGTTCAATCATGATATTAAATCATATATTTTTCTTGTTTAAATATTGTGAGAGTTTGTGTTAAAAAATATGGTAAGATTATGGTCAGATCAACTACATGTATGTCATTTTTGTACAACCCTAACTCCCTAATAGTTCCCCAGGACTACCCTGCTAAACTATCCAACAGAGTCCGATGGTCACTCATATGACTTTCCCACACAACCCAACTTGCCAAGTTGTTGGATACCTGAACATATAAAATGACTGGCATGCTCAACCCAACAGAATCCATCTGTGCCTTATTTTTCTGCTTCCTGCTGGATCTGGATCCAACAGAGTCCAACTTGGCGTTTTTTACCAGTACCCAACAGAATCCGACTCTGAATGTTTTCAGTTGCCTGCTGAATCCAACAGATTTCAACAGGATTGTTTATGCAAGGGGTTTACTGCTCAATTCAACAGAATCCAACGGGTATGTAAAATAGCTGGATGCCGTTGGATTGAGCAGGGTAAGGGTTTGAATTCTAGTTAGAATGTTGAACATGTCGAAACGATTAAGTTATAGTCTCAATGATTTTGAACATAACGTAAATATTTCTGGTTTGTTTCAGGAATGGGATTTTGTCACTATTTGCTGGTGTGTTAACTATCCTGTGTATATATAAGGTGAGTGTGACAATATAAATTAAAGAGGTTGTGGAATGCTCGAAGACATTTCCGTCATTTTTTAGGTATATGTAGCCCAAGGTGTGATGAAATAAAAACGACTATTGTTTCTGTCATGAAATGAATACAAAATGTAATTTTGAGAGCTGTTTTTCAGGTCCTGTTTCGACCCGAACGTGCAATTTGTGTGAAAGTCGTCGTTGGGGGCAGCAAACAAAACATAGTAAATCGTGACGTAATAAACAGGACTTTCTATGCAGCGAAGTATAAACGAGTCCTGTTTGTTATGTCACAATTTTTCTGATTTTACGAAGAACCCGACGACTGTTGATTTCAATTATGCGCTCGCCGACCAACAAATTACTCGATGAATTTCAGTTTTATAAACATATAAACGCACATTACAAAAGAATGGGAGTTTGTCATTATGATATATTGGTCTACTCTACAATAAAAAAATATAAAAAACAAAATGACTTTCAGCTTTCCACAACCTCTTTAATGTACAACATGTTCATATATAGCTGTGTAATTTTTATATTCTAAAGCCGTGTTTACATTGAACTTATTTTTGTTTTAAAGATTTCATCGACATGATGGTAAAAACCAAATGGGTAATATCTTACTAATGTGCACACTTTGATGTTGACTTGGGAAAAAAAATTTCTGAGACTCTGGTTACAGGAACCAATCTGGGCATAAATAATTGTCCATGCAATGGGTCGTTCTATATCTGCATCCTAATGTTTGACATTATAGACGTTCACTAATGTCGGTGAATAATGCCTTGTTACCGAATACAGTAAAGTGAGTAAACTTTCGTTAACTCAAATTCGGATAACTCGAAAGTCTGTTTATCTCAAAGTAATACTCTATTCCTGCCTCAAGAATAGGATATATACGTACATGATTATCCCCGTAACCTGAAATGCCCACACCAGTACCTCCGCTTAACTCAAAAGTTTTGTTCGACTGGTCCATAGAAAATGTTGCCAAAACAGTCACAAAGAAGCGTAAAAAACATCCCCTAGGAACCTCGGCGTCATGTACACTAAATGACTGAATGAGGATCATGTTCCAAGTGCTGATCCGGGGATTTTACGTGAGAGGGTGCAATTCAAAATAGGAAACGGCAACTTTTGAATTGGGGCAATAGCAACGGAATCCACTTATGAAACTATAAAATTGTGCTGAGGTTTTCTCTGTTTTCTGAAAATGTATAGTATCCAACTTAAGAGGTTAGGGCCCATCTCAGTTCATATCCGGGATGAGTTCCGGACAAGTTGCGGACATTGTATCGGGTATAAGTTGCAGGATTCCCCGCAATCTTCGCGCCATGAAGTTATCAGTATTGGTGAGTCAAGCAGTCGCTAATGAAAATTTCCCCGGAACATTTATGGTGCAAATGCAGAGCTGCTTCTGGACAAAGTGAATGATTCTCCCTGCGACTTGTGTGGAACTCGTCCCCGGATATGAAATGAGGCGGGCCCTTGTATAGTACCCTTCTTAAAACAACAGTCCATTATTTGCACCTATCCAAAAAGTACTGTTGAAGAGCATACTTGGTTTAAAGATAGTAACTCCCTGTGAGTTTACTCTTTCCGGCTAGCTGTCGTTTTGAAGAAAACAATTAAAGAAGGCCATTTCCAACGATGCTTCTAAAGACACATTCTTGGAAATTTCCATTAGTAGTTCGTTTTTTAATTCGACAAAGCGCACGCAAGCATACATGACGCACACACGTGTGGTTGCTATAATTCGTTGCTTAGGTGCGCAACAACGCGTAGCTGCAATCGACTGAATGAGAACTTGTCCCAGACGCTGAACTCAGGTGCAATTCAAAACATGACTCGTCAACTTTTGATTTGAAATTGAGATCCTAGAATATTGTTTTCTCGAAACGTACAGCATTCGCTGAGCTAAAACTTCATCAGATTAGTTGTTAAGCACCCTTCTTTAGATTTTGAGCACTTTCATTACTTCAGTACTGTACTCTACCTTTAAGATGGAGCACAAAATGGAAAACGATCCTATGTACCATTAATGTTGTGGTGTGCTTCAAGTGAAGAAACCATTTGTAAATACCCTTGTCATTTTTCGCCCTCAGATTGTTCGTTTGCATCAGGCCTATGAGCAGTACTACCATCAACTCCTGGTGTTTTACTGTGCAACAGCAGAATGCCTTATTGTGTAAGTCAGGAGAAACCAACAGTCGGCCAAGAATCTCTTCATGACTTGCCAGCTGATGGCGGGGAATGGGGGAATGAGGGATGGGATACAGATTTATGATAGGCCCCCGTAGCTGTCGCTGCATTTACACTGAATCAAAGCAAGAGGGATTGAAGGGGGACTGGTGACCAGTGTTGTAGTCGAGTACATTTTATAGTACTTTGCCATGAGTCTGAGTGCAAGCTCTTTACAATGAGTACAAATACAAGTACGACTACAAGGCAATATTTTATATGAGTACATTACATTATCATGATTGTCAGTAGGCCCAAAAGAAATACTTGTATAAATGGTAAAGAATCCTTAAAAGAAATCCTGGATCAAGATCCAGATCCAAATCACTTCCAAAATCTAATCGATTTGTACTTGTACAAGGACCACCCCTTAAAAGATTTTCATGCAAATCTGTCCATAAGTTTTTGAGTTATCTTGTTAACGGATAAACCAATCAACCAACCAACCAACAAAATCCGATGAAATAATAACCTCCTGGGAGGAGGTAAAAATGTACTCGAGTATGGGCACCGGTACGAGTACAAATATAACAGCACTGCTGATGACTAGGTGTGATCAAGATCTGATCCAGCTAGAGCTTATCTGACTTTGATTTCCTTTCCTGGAAAGAACAGATCCATGGTTAATCTGGTATGAATTCCATCATGTTTGATTGTTAATGCAATCGCCGTATCGGGGCCGATTTTTATGGCCCTGCTAACCACAGAATTCTGTGCCTACCAAAATGAAGTAGTGCACATATTAGCCAAAGCTTACAAATAAAAAGGATTCATTAACCCTAACTCCCTAACATAATTTACTAGGAACCATACCCATCCTGGCAAATTCCAACACCATATGGTAAACTGCACACACGTATTTCTAACTTTGTTTCTGGAGGTGTGCCAACCAATGTAAAAGACTGTAGGTTTAGGGGTGCTGTACCCATCCTGACAGATTCCAACAAAACATGCCGTTGGGGTTCAATGGATTGACTTCTGTTAGGGTAAAAGAAGTAGGGGAAATAATGTTACCTAAGAATGTAATTATCACAAATATTTGAAATATCAGGTTAATAAGATTTTTTGTTTCTTTCTCTTTTTGAATTAATTTTTTTTTTTTTTAACCCTTTGTAGTATTGTCCATTGGGTGTATATCCACTACCCTCAGATGGAGTTAGCTGCAGAATATATGAAGATGCTACAACTCCTCATTGTGTGCCATTTTTATCTGTCTCGCTCAGTCAGACTGCTGCGAAGAGACTACCTCGGTATGAAGTAAGTGCATAAGGTTTAACAATGGGCCAAATTCTAAGGCCAATGGGGGCATTATAAAGACCATATTATCTGTTCACAAACTGTACAAACAGTTGTAACGAGTCACTGAATTTTGTGACTCGGGTCTAGTCATTTTAAGGAAGTGACTCGAATCAAGTCGAGTCATTAGGTCAAGAAGGTTGAGTGGAGTCACAGTGTGTGGTCGGGTCAGGTCGAGTCAAGTCAAGTCCAATTTGTGCCTGAGTCATTTTGACTCAATGATATTTGAACACCATCTAATAAATTAAAGAATGGAAGAAGGAACACAAGGCACTAGTGTATTATGAAGATGCAAAGAATGTAAAATGCTGTGTGGTACCCAATAGACATGTTCTGCTGGACGTTTCTACCATCAATCACTGGTTTAAAGATCTACATAACAACAATTAGCAAGAAGTGAAACTTCAGTTGTATCTCTGGTTTGGTTTCGGGTCTGGAATAATATTTATGCTGACAACATCAAAACCAAATTGCAACATACAAAACAGTACAGTTTGTGATTACATGTATATAGAAATGTAGGGCCTATCTAAATATTTTTTTTAAAGCAGGACATAAATTGTAGCCAGAATTATCCCAAGAATTGGGAAATGCGTTTAAAGTCTGGTTCCGGGATACATGAAGTGGTTTGTGAGCTACATATAAAACCACGAGGTGGGAATCTGTGATACAGGTATATATATGTGCGATAAGCGGCCACAACTTGGGGGTAACACGAAGTACGGGAACATAAATAACTTTGTACCGTAAGCCACTGAAAATATATTTTTGCACAGTTTTGGGACTCGATTCCTTTTATCCTTCGACTCGAGTCGAGTTAAGTTTTTTGACATAGCGGGGGGGGGGGGGGGGGGGTTTACCCCCTAATAATTTGTAAAAAGACTTCCTTTTTCCATTCAAATGCCCTTTTTTCAACGGGCTTACCCTGAGCAAGTGCCCTTTTCAAAAAAGAAGTGGTGCCCTTTTTTGTGGTATCTGCCGTTTTGGGTGCCTTTTTCAGAATTGGGCACATGTATCGCCCTGAAAAGCACCATATATTGGCCCTTTGATACAGTTTGATAAACACAACAGATATTTTTAGTTCAAATTCTGTTTGGAGGTTGATAAAGTTTTTCTTTTCCTTTTTTCCTTTTCTCTGTATCTCCTAGGCTTGTCCTTCCTGTCTTGGTATTCTTCTTTGCCTACTTCAGTGCTGTGGCTGTTACTGCCATCGCTGTTTCCAAAGACACAAACATGGAGTGCTTTGGTAAGTATGCAGCTGACCGACTGTTAAAACTGCCCAACACACACAGAACTTCATCTAATAACATTTTGTGATAGGGTTTGTTTTCATAGATGTGTAGTCGAGGTTGTCATTTAGTGGAACATCTCAATTATTATAAACCAAACTTAGCATACATTCTCGCATCTTGCCGAGTCCAGCTGCTAACGTAGAAATAAAAAGTCTTTTTGCTCAGTTTGAGTTTTTAAAAAGAAGACAAAAAGAGAAATACTTTCCACTTGAGCATGGTTGATTAAAGCAGGGTTAGGATCCATGAATGGGAGGTTTATGATAACACCATGTGAATGAAAGATATCTCTTAGTGAGTTGTTTGGTTCAGAGAAGAACCAGTTGTTTAAACTTCACGTTTCGAACAGTAGTATGCTCTGCTCATCATCAGGAGACTGCCGGACTCTTTCTGTTGTAGTGGTTTAAGTAGTGGATGGAGACCGGAGATTCTGACAGGATGCTGGGATGCTAAGGTGTTGGGTAGGATGCTGAAGTGGGCTGTGTGTGCTCAGTGCAGCAGATCAGAAGGATGGAGGTACAGCTATGGTGAACATCAAGCAGAGTGCTAATGGTATAGGGGACCCATAGGCCAAAACTAGTGAGGGGGGACTATTGTGATTGGATGGGCTCTGTGGGTATAGATACCCATTGGACCTATGATTAAGGAGTGGTCTCCATGTATCACTGATGTGAATCTCCTAATTCAAGATTTTTGTTCTGCATTTTATGAGGTGACTCTACTTTTGCACAAACTTGCATCCACCTTTTTTTCAAAGCAGCCTTTTTTGGTCCTGCATTGTTTTGTTGTAGATCCATATTGGGTGATGATGTCTGCCGCTGAATGCTTCCTAACACAGCTGTTCCTATTGGCTGGTATTCTGATCACCAAGAAGATGAATGAAGTCACAACATTGGAGAGTGCGAGATGGCAGCAGAAACGCAACTTATGGAGGTATCAAATATCTTGCCAAGTTTAGTTATTCTTTTTTACCCCTCAGCCGAGAGGCTCGAGGGGTATTGTCATCGCCTACGGCGTCTGTCCGTATGTCCGTCCGTCCGTGCTTACCACGGACTACTTGTGGGGTACCCGTCCTTTGTTCGTGGTACCCCGCAAATAAAATCTTTAGAAAAAAGGGTACCCAGCAATGAAATCTGTAGAAATTGGGACAATGGGACAACAATGGAGGTACCCGGAAGTCCATCTGGCTGGGATGTCTGTCCGGGCAGCTAAGTTTCCGGATAATAACTTGAGTTAGAAATGAGATTTTGGTGTCTAACTTTGGCAGGGGGTTGCCCTTGGGAGTAGGCAAGTTGGAATTGGTTTTGGGGTCAAAAGGTCAAAGGTCAAGGTCACCGTGGTGAGTTAAAGGTAAATGGTTTGTGGATGATAACTTGAGTTACAAATGAAATTTTGGTGTCTAACTTCAGTAGAGGGTTGCCCATTGGTACAGGCATATTGGGATTGGTTCTGGGGTCAACGGTCAAGGTCACCATGTTGAGTTGCTGAGGGGTTTCAACAGCAACGCTGTTATTTTTATAAAAGTGAAATCGCTGCAATTTATTATCACATTTTTATTCCATATATAAAAGTCCATAAATGGACTCTGTGCATGAACAATAGTTGTTATAACACCGTCTTGAATACTGTATTTTTATTGGCCCAGAACGATCACGTGTTAAGTTTATAAAAAGTGTACTTTATAAAAACTTGTGTACTTCGCCAATCCTCTGTGTTACAATTGTTTCAAACTTGTTCTTCCAGTGTAAATGTGGTATAATCGGTATTGATCAGTTGCACATATGTGTTTTGTTTCAGCATCATTATTGCCTTTGAATTGTCTTCCTTGACAACGATGCTGTTTGACATTGTTAACCTGGGCTTGGGTAAGTACTCATTGCTTTCTAAATACGTTACATTTCAACTTACACATATTATTTCTTACTAACTACAGAATTTGTCATTATTTGAAAATACATTTGATTTTTTTTATACAAATGGCACAATCAGGTTGACGATAAAGATTAAAGACGTCCTTTATTGACAAAATGTTTTATTTAGTGCACCTGTAGCAAATTTGAGTTGGCCAATACCAACCTTACCAGCTAGCTCAGTAGTCAAGTCCAATTTCTATGTCTATAATTGTAATCAAGAGGTTGTATTGAGAGATGCAAACTAAATGTGTAATTCTTCCGCAACCCAGTTGGGCCTGTAAAACTTAACGCTGTGGAGTGTTAAACTTACAATTGACACTTGACAATTGCAGCAGTGTACTAGCTGTCCGTGCTGGACTTAATTTGGTTAAGTTTTGCCCCCAAAAAGCCCAATGTGAGCATGGCTTTAGACTTCTTATCGTCGCGTCAGTGCAACAAGGTCGTAACTCGATTCTGCAACAAATTCGTATCTCGTGCGAATACGCTCCGTGCAACAAGGTCATATCTCGCGTATCGTGACGTCCATTGACTTTGTGTGTACATCTGGGTTATTTTAAGCAAGATACGACCTTTTGACATTGAAAACTCACATTTCATCTACATGACAAATTGATACTTTTGATTGGCCCCTAATTAAAAGAAAAGTTTCACTTAAAATACTGTTTCGTTCTTCACCCCCTAACGTTTATGGCTTTTTTAACCCCTTTTCAGATCCATGGAATGACAGTTGTGCTGATATTTACGTAAGTCAATCATAATATCATTTGAAAAAGACTAAGGGAACCACTGCGGAAAATATGTCTAAAAAGACAATATAATGAATGTGTGTGAGTGCAATGGTAAGAATAATTTCATGAGGTGACAGATGAAATGTTCCATTCCACGACGCGAAACCGAGTGGAATGGAACATTCCATCTGTCACCAAAAGAAATTATTCTTTCCATTGCACGAACGTGAAACATTCATTATTTGTTTTATATAACACCTGAATAAATCCTTGTCATCTGATTGGTTGACTTTTAATAGCAAATTTATTCAGGTTAAAAACTGTTTAAAAGTTCGACAAGTTCATCATATTAAATTTATGCAAACTGTTCAACAGGCTGAGAACAATCATATTCCATTTATCTCGATTTAAAACAGCGCCACCACCAGCAGCAGTGACACCGTGCAATGAAAGTTCTATTCAGCGTTAAATAGAACTTCCACTGTGCGCTGCATGCCACGCGTTGGGACGAATAATTCAATGACATGTGATTAACGATCCACCAATCAGATAACGGAGATTTATTCAGGTGTTGTATAATTATAGATAAAAAAAAAATGAAAATCCACTACTGGCAGTATCCAAGTTGCCAAAAACAACAAATTGCCAAGTGTAGATTTTGCTTTTGGATGTACCTGACCTTGGTGAAGAGAGATATGTACAGACAAATTTTCTTCGAATATATGTTTCACTAAGACTTGTCTCCTGAATTCTTTTTATGCTTAGATCCTGGCAATGTTTCCCCCAAAAGCATTATAGCGGAGCAGTCCCGCTATGCTTCACCAAATGGCTGCTACTTGTTCACTTTGAGCGCTACTCTTTGATTCTTACCACTATGCTATCAAAATGGTTACTCATTTCTTGAGAGAAAATTAAATATTAATGCCACGTTCACATTTGAAGTTCTGGCTGTAGCTGAAATCCATTCCAGCCTCAGCCCCACTGTGCTCCACCGGTACCCTCCTCGGCCCGTCCCTGACCTGACCCATACCCTCTGAGCTTTAACAAATTCACAGTGAAATACTGCCTGGGGTTTCACTGAGGAGCTAGCTATTCTAATAAAATTGTCTTTTCTGTTTTTATTTTTGTTCACAGAATCGTAACCAGGTTGTCTACAGCATTATCTACCTGTTCCTGATGGTAAGGAAAGTCAATTAATCTTGTCACCTGAGCTAAGAACTTCAATTAAAACCTTAAACTGGGCAGAATCAGATTGGAAAGGTTTCACTAGCAGTTAGTGTGCCTTATACATGTCAGTGAGAAATGTATTATGAATTGTAAATTTTCACCCTCTTCTGTGTTAAATTATTTAATCATGTATAATTTGCTTGGAAGAGGATGAAATGCTGAACGTATATGTGCAGGGTTCGACCTTAACTTTTTTGTTCACTAGCCAGCCAGGCTACTGAAACGGACTCTTAACTAGCCCACGGGCATTTTCACCAGCCCGCATTTTTTTTTCTGATCTCAAATAAAAAATGGGGTATTTTCAGGCTCAATTCTGAGGCAATTTTGTTTTTTGATTAACAGATCTAATAATTTAACCCTTTAAAACAATTGATAAAATTAGACACAAATTGATGGGGTTTTCTTTTTGAATTTAATGATTTATTTCTTCCTGTACGTTCATCTTTGCCGTATCCCAGTAATTGATCACTCACCAGCCGGGCTAGTTAAAGAATAGTTTGACTAGCCCACTGCTGTTTTGACTAGCATTTGATTAGCGGGCTACCGCTAATTTCGAACCCTGATATGTGCCATTTGTCTGTGTTTCAAAGCTGCAGACGAGGCTTTCTTTGCAGGCTGGCATTTTGGATCACTGGTTTTATTGGTAATGGTGCCTGGCTCAATGAGTAGGCCATAACATTGTTAGTAGGCCATAACTAGGAACTCGACGGGCTCAGCGTGGTTTGATGACTGTCTGTGTGTGGTCGATCGGTCAACCGGGGGGCCATTGAGCGATCATAATAGCACGCTGTAGCTAACTAGCTCTGTGCGTGTATTGTACAATACATTGGGTTTGCTTCAGTCCACGAGCCTCAGTCCACAAAGGGAATGAGATAAGTCCCAACATTGGTGACCCCACCCCTCCCCTATGGTAACGCTAAATATTCGCTTATTACATAATTTGCCATGTAATTATTTTCTGCATACTAGCTTCATGAAATCAGGCCTTATAATTTTCTAGTGTAACCTGAGTGCCTTCCTTGCTTCATGTTTTCCCTCAGTGTTTCTGTATTCATCTGTGTTTTTGTATGTTTCTTTCTTTTCCCCATTACAGCTTTTCAAGATAGTGGTGCCTATTGTGACGCTTCTTGCCGTCTTTCATCCCGTGTCTAGACACAGCAATGGTAACCAGGACGAATTCTTAACCAGTGATACACAATATGGGGTGAGTTCACTTAAACACCTCAAATTTGAACTTGGTTGTCTTCAGGGAGAGGCTATTGGAGGAACTCATTAATTGTGGCTGTGTCATTGGGGGAGAATGGTCCTGCTAATCTGATGCTCAAAATGGCCATCTTGTGCCAGCAGGGAGGACAAATTACCTTCTATCTAGTTATACATTCCCGACACAAATATTGTCACTCTGGCCACAACTACAGACAACAAACGGGGCTCAAAATCATGGCACTGCTTAGCACACAATTGTCTGACTAATCAGTAAGAATAGCAAAAATCCTGTTTACCTCAGAGAAAAAAATTGCTGAAAGATATAGTCCATTATTTGCAGTTATCCAAGAAGTGCTGGGTTAAAAATTAGTAATGGGACTAAATTCCCTGTGAAAATATTCTTTCTGGCAAGCTGTCATTTTGAAGGAAACAATGAAGAAAGGCCATCCAACGATGCATCTAAAGACACATTTTTGGATATTTCCGTTAGTAGTTCGTTTTTAATTCGGCGAAGCGCGCACAAGCATTGACACAATGCACACGCTCGCGCGGTTGCGATAATTTGTGGTTTCAGTGTCCGACATCGCATAGCTGCAATCATCTAAATGAGAACGTGTCCTAGACGCTGAATTCGGGCGCAATTCAAAACATGACTTGGCAACTTCTTATTTGAAATCAAGATCGTAGAATATTGTTTTCTCAGGATATACTGCATGCACTGAGCTAAGACTTCTTCAGGTTAGTTGTTCAGCACCCATCTTTAGATTTTGAGCACTTTTGTTGCTTCAAACGAACATAATGCACAAATTACAAATGGTGTACTCTACCTTTGAATTGTGCCATAACAATAGAAATCTCCACGGGTGTGCAACTGTTAGCACATCCATTTTGTGAAAAAGTGCGTAAGATTAGCACAATAGGTCTCTCTCAAAGACGGCCATCTCTGTAGGAGAACTGCAACTGCGTATTTTACGCAATCAAGCACGCATTGCGCAGTGTTGAAAATGTTCCAAGCACGCGCGCTCGTTGAAATGTGTTCGAAATACGATGCAGCTGATGCGCGTTTTGCAAGTTGAGGCTCAAAATGCCGATTGCACGTGGCATGGTCTGTAGGAAATGACGTCACTTGAGAGAGACCTATAGACCATTATCATGTTGCGGCCATTTGGATTTTTCCCATTCAAAACAACGTAACCAAAGCGAGGCTGGAAGGAAAAATAGTCTGGTTCCTTTTTGCACAACAAACACTATCATTTATTACTGTTATTGGAGACAGGGAACATAACGGGAATGGTGGCAGCATGATAAAGGTCTTGTGCAAAAACATGTGCGCCTCTTCAATGCCACACTGCATGTTCCAGGGACATGCATCATACACATGTGTATGTATTTCAGTTTTTGTGTGCAGGCATGCCAGACATTAATCACGGCTGTGATTGGGCAAAACAGAGAGGGGCAGAGCTTAATGGATCAGTCTGTTTTCAGCTATAGTTGGTACAACTCTTCTGCTAACCTGTTAAGAATTGCCATGAAATTTGCTCCAACTCCTGGCCATGATTTTATGATTGCCACCAGTTCATTGTAACTACCAGTTCATTCTGGCCACCACATCATTCTAGCCATCAGTTCATTCTGGCCACCAGTTAATGCTCAGGCTCAGCTCCAGTTCATTCTGGCTGCCAGTTCATTTTGGTCAGCAGTTCATTCTAGCAACCAGTTCATTCTGGCCGGCAGTTCATTCTGGCCGGCAGTTCATTCTGGCCGGCAGTTCATTCTGGCCGGCAGTTCATTCTAGCCGGCAGTTCATTCTGACTGCCACTTCATTCTGGCCGGCAGTTCATTCTGACCGCCACTTCATTCTGACCGCCACTTCATTCTGACCGCCACTTCATTCTGGCCGGCAGTTCATTCTGACAACCACTTCATTCTGGCCACCAGTTCATTCTGGCCACCAGTTCTCTCTTGCTACCAGGGGCCATATTCATGAAACCTTACTAAATTAGCAGCCAACTAGGCCTTTGTATGATACTAAAATGCCTAGTGGTCTACTATGGAGTTGACAACTAAATTGTTATTCATGAAACCTTACTAAGAACCTTGCTAACTAGTTACATACTATTATTATTATTGATGCGAAGCATAAAGATGCAAACACTAACAAGAAAAAAAGAAAGATGCATGGGCAGCTTTTCTCAGCCAACACCGTGCAAGATTTCCACAGGTTGAAAGATCATTGGATGATTTAAAATTAGATTATCCAAATTAAAATCTGAGTCAAGAGAATTCCTGTCAAGTATGAGAAAGTCCAAGAAGGCAACCAGAGGGGGAAAACCACCTAAAAAGCCAAGTCTGGCACAACAAAAAATGATATAGTTGCTGACTAGTGACTTGGGGTTGCCCTGGATCTACACTAACTTAAGTAAGAAACTTAGAATGAAACTAGCATTAGCAATGTTTCATGAATATCAATTAGTTTCCAACTAGGCTTAGTTAGCAACTACATGCCTATTTAGTAAGCAACTAGGCTTAGTAAGATTTCATGAATATGGCCCCAGCTCATTCTCGATGCCAGTTCAATCTGGCCACCAGTTCATTCTGATGAACAGCTTTTTCATGTCACCAGATCATTCTGGCTACCAGTTCTTTCTGGCCATCAGCTCATTTTGGCCGTCAGTTCAAGAAGCCAACAGTTCATTCTAGCCGCTACTTTTTTTCACATAATTAGATTATTCTGGCCACACACTCATTTGACCAACAGCTCATTCTGGCAATATATCAAGTGCATATTTAGTGGCTTTTATCCAATTTCAACATTTTAATGTAATTTTCCTTTTTTTCTCTCTCTCTCAGGCATTCCAACCCCGTTTCACATCTCTGGGCAGCTACCGTCGCCTATATCAACCAGGCACAGATGACCATGGTATACCCTGGGTACCACCCTCACAGTACGCCAGCCCTGCACGCAGGTCTCAGTCCTTTCCTAAGATGCCAAGTATCAGGGAGGAACATGAACCAGCGAGCCTGTCGCTACCGGTAACCGCATAAATGATATGGAACCCTGGGATTGGCTGGATAGTTGTGAAAGCAACCATTTCAAGAGACCTTTTTAAGGGGAGGATGAGTACCGCAAATATGATTGACGTCGAGTCAATATTGCGTTAAACATGGAATTAGTGCAACTTATTTATCCAGGTGCTTTTGCCAAAGGCCGCTTTCATTTTTATACCAATGTAAAACATTTTATAAAAAAATGGCTTTTTTAGTTTTCAAAAAGCCTTTGTCATGGATTTTTGAAAGAACTGTACTGTTTTAAGGCTGTAATGTGATCTATGGTGAATTAAGCATGAAAAGGAAATCAGAACAATTACTGCTAAAAATGCCTTGTCTGTTTATATATTTTGTTTTTGTTTGTTTTTGTTTTTTCAAGAAAAATTTACCGTACAAAGGCTTTGAGTGCCTCGATGGAGCACCTTGAGCACCAAATACTGGTGGATACTTGGACTTTAAAAATACACATTGTTTAAGGCAGTTACTCAAAAAGATAAGCAGAACTAGTTTTGCTACAACCAGTTTGGTTGTATGACTGCACACGTTTTCATATATTCAGATTTTACGATTTTAATCTTGGTGAACACGGCAGTGTACTCAGATCTACATGTATTGGGGATAATGCTACAAATATCAATCAAAATTTTAAATAGAAGATGAAAAGACAGTTCACACACAAGTAAGAGAATAAAAAGTACTGTAAAATGTCGTGCGGTCTAAAGCCACGTTCGCAGTGGACTCAAGTTTGTAAAAAGTTACCGCAAATGATTGTTAACATTCTATCGTGGTTACACTTCCGTGCATTCTCACTTACATTAATGTCGGACTTCGCAAAGTCATTTGTTATGTAAACTATGCCCTACCATGCTCTCTCAGCATCTCGTCATTTGCTGTACATATCATCTATCAAGCGCAGTCTACAAGTTGGTCATATGATCACAACGTAAATTTTACATAGTAGTGGCCGTCGGCACATGACTTTTCAGTGATGTAAAACCTACATTGTAATTCTCTGTAACCCAATTTGCTCTGTAAAATTCTGCTGTGAAGCGCAAGACTTACAATCGACAATTGTCACTTGACATTTTTGTGAAGTGTACTGTCTGTCAGCACTGGACTTAATTTGGTTAAGTTGACAACAGTCTTTGTAAGTTTTACCCAAAAAAGGTCCAATGGCAACACGGCCAATGGTTTTCATACTTTTTTTTTATAATTTTTTTTTTATTTTGCTGACACCCGTTATGCTCATAATCATTACTTTGTGTTTCCCCAAGTGAAAATTGTCAAATGATGATTTGTGCTCATGCAGTTGGAATACTGAACTTGATGTTTGAGATCGTTTGTAGCTAGTATTTTTGTAAGTGTAGGATCTCTTTGCACACTTAGCATCCTGGGCAAATGCAGTGGAACGCCACTATAACGGACATCGCGGGATCCACAGAAATTGTTCGTAATAGCGATCGTTCGGTATAGCGATTTTAAAGCTGCCGGTGCTCCGGTACTCACTTTCCTGCTCGCCCTGGTAGTTACTGAAAGACGACTTTGAACACGTGCCGACTATTGAATCATGCAATTACATAGTTTTTTAGCTTACTACCTACACTGTACAGCAATGGGTGGCTTTCCCCTTCCATTCCTTGGGAAAATAACAGCCACTTGTCGCTCTTCTGTGGACATTTTTCAACAACAGTGTTCAGTACACGGGAGCCAAACACGATGTTTGGTATAGCCGAATGTTTGGTATAGCGGTGTTCGGTTTAGCGACATTCCACTGTAGTTCAATTTATTTGAAATTCAGCTGAACTACTTAGAACCTTTGCAACTTTTTATGCGCTTGTTTTCTTTGACACTAAAAGAAAGTAAGACAAACCAATGCGTTATATACACAAGCGAGCTGTTTTGATTTAAAACCCAAGCACTTGGAAAATAGGTAGGTTCAGATGTATGTTTTTGCCTGTACAGTATTTTAATGTACAATAATTATCATAATGTAAATTTCTTTTATACAAAATAGAGTGCAAAACTGATGAGTACTTTTAAGTGAGCCAAAAAGACAATCAAAATCCATCCCCCCCCCCCCCATTTTGGGGGATTTTGGCAGATAAGCTATGTGTAACAAGTCCATCAAAATCCAGGAGCACCAGTGGTGGATTTCAATGGATTTGGTCCTGAAGCATTATGGTGAAGCAGAGTCAGTGATGGATTTTGATGGACATGGTTTTCTACTTAGTAAAACTAAGTAGGGAGTTAGGATTTCTAAAAAAAAATGTAAAAAAAAAAAAGATAACAAGATTGTGTTAGGTACCATTTGTTTTGCCATTTCTGGAAATGATTCTTGATAAAAATCATTTTACAATCACAAAGATTTTATTTGAGACTTAGTAAATATTTTTTTTTATATATTGTAACTTATTTGAGAGTAAACTGGGCAATGATTGTAGCTCGCACATCTTGGTTTTTTTTTACTTTTATTGTTTTATTTTACCAGGGTAGCCCCATCAGTTATCTAAGAACTGTTCTCCCTGTGGGCCCTGGATGAACCTCTATAGTCAATTATTTTGTTGAACATTTGAAAAAAAAATACAAAGACAGTATAAAGGGTATGACAGCACAGCTCTTATAATCACATGGACATTGCCCCTAAAGGTTACAAAGTGTTAAACATTAACAGAACTCTTTACAATTTCTCCAACTTTTCACATGTACATCTTTTTAGGTTTTTGGTCAGTTTTAAAAATAACACTGATAACTAAGAAGATATATTAAGAGAATTTTTGTTTTACCTTTCAGTGTGTGTGTATATAAATTCACTGTTGGAAAGTACAGTTGCCTTATCTTTTTGGTCACACCTCTACTGCTAAAAAAATATTTTAAAAAGACTCCAAGGGTTAAGCACTGCTTAGGAGATAGAGACATTATATATAGCTCCTGTTACTTCTTATGTATATCACTTTTTGGTTGTATTTGGATTAGATGTATTTGGATTAGATGTATTTTTACTTTATTGTATATATATATTCGAACTAAGAACTCGGGCAGCTTGTTTTACAAAAGTGTCTAAATACTGATTTAAGAAAATGTTTATGAAGAAATGTACATGTATATAAAAGCTGAACAATTATATTTTGCAACCAGATTTTCCCCTAGCCCCATACCCAGATAGCATGGTGAGTTCATTTTAAGGCAAAGGTAATTCAACAGTTGAGATTATAGAACTAAAAAACCTTCACTTTTTTTTTTATTTGTTGCACTGACAGTTTTAGAAAGGAAGAAAGGCAAAACGCATCCTTTCAATTTAATTTAAATGTCTTAAAGTAGAAACTTCTGAAGGCCTTAATTGTAATCACCTGCATATGCAAAACAAAATAGATTTAAAAAAATCATTTTTAGATTTGGGTAACTGTTTTATTGATACTCATTCACAAATAGTTACTACATTTGGTGTTTATTACTTGTTATATTTACTCAAGAATTACATTTTTTTCTCACTTTACTTGTGTATAACCCTGAATTACCTCCCCAATTCACTGAAAACAAAATTATGGTAATATAATCACAAGTACGTGTATAATTTAATGTATATAGCGAAATATGTTTTGTACAGTTTTTACATGTCCAATTGAATTAAGTGCACACAGGACATGTACATTTACTCATTTGTATCGACGTCCGTAGGCCTACGTTATCACAAAAAGTGGAAATGTGGAATACGCTTTTGGGGTACCTCGGTGCTTGAGTCAAATGTACTGCGCTACGAGGAAATGTTACTCTCAAAAGAAGACTGGTTAAATATTAAACAAATAATCTAAATTGCCCAAATGCACTTCATAAATTGTTTGAAACTTCTTCAGAAACCATGTCGCAAGAATAAAACAAATCTTAGAAATACTAAGTTACAATTGACCTAAAATGTATTTATTGTATATTTGTAGAAAATATGATTTTATAAGCTTGTACTGTCATTTGACATTATTGAGGGCGTACTTTCTCAGTATTGCATTTTAACAAAATAAACGAATGGGCAGTATGCTGCTATATTTAGTTTTGTTGAGGTACGTGCACGTGTTGAAATGGGCGTTTGAGTTGTTGAAGTAAATGAATCTGTAATCGCTAATCCCATTTTTAGATGGATTACACTTCAGACTTGATGACTGTACTTCGTGCCGAAAACAAAATACTCATTTCGTGGCTGTAATGCTTATAAATCCCAGTTATTCCCAGAAGAAATTAATACATGTATAATTATATTTCAATGCTAAATCCCAAATATGCTATCATCACACTTAAAATAGCCAGGAGATTTTTTTTTTTTAACTGGCAATGACCAGGAACATTTTACTTTCGCCCGCCACTTTTTCTTGCGAAAACGGAAGAAATGTATTGAGAATGCTGGTATACCCGCTCATATAATTTTTTTTTAAATCTACGTGGGTCTCAGTACTGCGCGGTTATGCAGGCGGGTGCATACCTATCAGGGGTGTGAAATCTTTAAAGCTGATTTCAGCTTTTTTTGTTTTGGATTTCAGCTTTTTCCCCTCACTTGCTGTGAACAAAAGTATATGAAATTTCCAAAGTTCAGCTTTTTTACACCCTTTTCAGCTGTTTTCAGCTATTTTTATCAGTGGTCACTCACACCCCTGCCTATGTTCCCCAATACCGATGTTTCCCGAAATCCCTACCATATACCCTAGCCCTAACCCTAATCCTGAGGATTTCGGGGAACATCGGTAGTGGGGAACATCGGGTAGATACCATGCAGGCGGCATGTTTGCCTTTTGGTGCATGATTGAAGAAACCCGAATCCACATATCAAACTGTGAATTTTTTTTAAAGGAGATTCAGGGGAAGGGTGGTTGGGGTGGCGAACTCCTTCCCCCGCCCCCTCTCCCAAAATGTTTGATCCACCGCAAAAAAAAATGTGGAAGAAAAGAACTGACTTTCAGAAGTAACCTCCAGCAAGGGGCTCCGGGAGCCCCTTGCTGTCTAGTCGGAGTATCATCCGTTGGACAACGGATGATACTCCGACTAGACAGCGTATTAACGAATGGCGGGAAAAAAGATGGGTGACTCTCAGAAAATCCCCTCGGCAGCCCCCCCCCCCCACCCCACCCACCCACAAAGATCAAACAAAATCATCCGTGACTCGACTCGAGGAAGGACTCACTTGGTAGGCCTACTTGGTACTTGGTGGTTATCCTCCTGAATACTCCACGTGGAAGTCTAACAAGGAGGCCTTTACCTTTACCTTGTGGATAATCATGACTAGTCTCTTTTTTTTATGGGGAATGTGAATTTATGGGGGGAAAATCCAAGTTCAAAATATCTTTTTTGGTTACTGAACTAGGATACTTCCAAAGCTCTTTAATGGAAGAAAATCTACCTTGAATTCCTCAAATTAAAGAAGTATTATATGTATAGCACATGTATTCAATTAGACCCACATTAAACGTATTATGTCGAGAATTGTTTTGAAAAAAATGCTGCAACGTTATTATATACTGAGTGGAATATTTACGAACGGATTACATTTTTTTAAAAATAATTTCATGGATTTGATTGGCTTAAAGGGGATAATTCCCTTGTGCCTGAGCAATGTGTTGGTAGCTACTTGGGAAAAAATAACGGAACTGACAAGCAGGCATGATGTGATTTTTTTTGCATGCGGCGCGGGTATATGTGGCGTAATACTAAGAAAAACACTATGACTGTTCGTATCGTACGCGAACCATATTATGATGTCGGCCATTTAAGAAGTAAATTCCGTTATTGCATCATTCCAGATGTGGCAATTGTGAAATATCGGCATTGTCATTGTCCTGCATGGTTCGATGTCAGGCGAGCGCGAGTTGTTCAATTTTTGGACCCCCCACTCGGATGTAGCTATGACGATCGTGTGAGCGGGGGTGTGACGAGGCCTAATGTTTGCCAATTGCCATTCACGAAATTCTGCGCATATAAACCTTTGGTCGGCGGTAAAATATGATTCGATTTTTATCGCAGTAATTTGTAAAAAGTCATTTCTGTTGCAAAAAAAAATTGCAGTCTGTAACGACAAGTCAAATTTCAACAAGCACTTCTACGTATCGGCTATCTTTTGTATGCAGATTACATCCGGAAGTGTTGACATTATGTTGACAGTGACGTCAACGCCCACAAATCCTGAGCGATGATTGGTCAATCGGGGACACACCTCCAAAATCCTCTTGTATCCGGGCCAGCTGTTGAACCGCAGACATACTGGTACCCGCGTTGTACGGTACGCATAGGCCGTGACGTGAGACCAACGCGGAGAGAATGCTATGCAATCGCCATGCAATCGCCATGCACATCGATCACTGAGCTTTCAGTCGACTAGTCCACGCAGCTGTAACGACACGAATCAGCTTTTTATCCCTGATATTTTGCTGTCAACACTCAAAGGACGGAGGAGGTAAATATCTTTGTGTATATGCTTGTACATAATTTTTCTAAAATCATTGATTTGTTGGAAAGAATGCAGTATGATCCAGCTTTTTCGACATTCGTAACGCGTAACGCATGATCTTGGCCTATCTAGCTAGTCAACCATGTTATTGTTAATGCTGGAGGACGGAATCCTAAACCATGACTTGCAAGTTGCAAGTTTCATATTGCCTAAGCAATGCGGATATACGGATCCTGCACAATATAGGAAGTGTGGTATTTAGATGCTGTTCTCAACCTGGGTATTCAAACGAAATTCATTGTTAGAAACTTAAAATTCATGAAATTGTGAAAATATTCTCTCTTTTTTGGTTAAACCTCCCCGACCCCAGTCCCTCATAAATTGTCATATTTTTCCTCTCTTGCTTAAAGTTAATTGTGCCTGCACTTCCTCTGGACATGTGCACGTAGTCCCAAAGTTTAAAAGTAGATTTTCGTTCTCTATAGGAACGGGGTCCGCAACTACAAAAACGCCATAAATGTGGCCTATTTACTGGACTACCTCCGTAAATAAAGACCACACTAGCAGATTTACTCACAACGTTAGCACTTGTTACCAAATTTATTTTCACATTCAGACTGCCGTGCATAGTTGATTTATGCTTTAAAAACACACTCATCTTGTAAATAACAAATAAAAATTGATGCGCAAGTGTTCAACTCTCCAGTTTTCGTGTCTTTTCCAGCTCCATTTGGAGGCTTCTTGGCAGCCGTTAAACTCAATTGCAACCATGTTCCAAATGAACAATGCTCTCGCGCAATACCTGATGGGATACATGGATCGTTCACCTGTCAGTCACGCGCCGCGCCGCATGCCTGATGGCTATTGTGTATGTAACAGTATCTAGAATGCAGCATGATAATGATAAACATTGAGCATTATCTTTTTGCAAGGTTTCTATCTATCTATCTATCTACGCGGGTACTCAGCAAAGTCCACTTCTGGATGTTAACGCTGAGGTGAAGTTTAAGGTGCATGTGAAGCTTCTCCCACTTTGCGGGGGAGGCTTTTTGCCGCATTGCTGATTTCTTGAACACATACACACACCTCTTCCGCTTTATTGTATACATGTAGCTGTGACTGTAAGGCCGAATAAAAAAAAAACATGTTTCTCGTCCGGGTTTTCAAAAAAAAGGAGGAAGCGGGGCTTTTATTTTTTATTTGTTTCAAGATGGCCGCCATTTAAAATTTCCTGCAATTGTTGGTGTTTCCACTGTTCAAAGAAACTTTTAAAATGAAAGATAAGTTGGACAAGAGAACTGAACATATTTACAGTGTCATTTAGACTTGTATTGGTCTACAATTTATTTCCCGATGAATTTGTGGACTTTTTCGGTGTTTTTCAACTGCATTTTTCAAAAATAAAAAATAATAAAAAAATCCAGGCGGCCTCCAAAAAGGAAGCGGGCGGGCGGTTTCAATTCAACAAACAACCCCCCAAATTAACACATTGTTAGTTTATACAGATCTCAAATTAAGAAATTGTACAGATGATTGAATTGTTCTGGGAAAAAAAGTCTAATGTCTAAGTTGAATTTAGTGTTGAACCATGGATATCGTACTGTGATGATGACTGAATGCCAGATTTATTTGGTCTGTGTCTGGTTGTCTGTGTCTTATCCTAGAAATGTTGACTGTGAAGCTATGTGCACAATACAAGTCAGGGTCAGCACAGAATTGTTGGTCGATCCACTCATAATATATCATTTGCAGGAAGCTTCATCCACAGCTCAGTTAGATTTTTCCAATTTCTTAAAATGTACATGTACATGTATGACTCAAGCTCAAAAGCAGTAGTTTAGAATGTTGCCTTTTTGAAATCTTTCCCTGGACTTAAAGTTGTTGTGCATATAAATCACACTTATTCTGAAACCAGATTTAAACATCATCTGGCAAGAGCTACATGTATTGTAGATAGAACTACATGCTGATAATACCCTCTTAAATTATTAAACATTATTACGGGATACATGTATGTGGCTTGGAAAAGTCCCCTATATGAAATCACTATTTTGTGTTGTTTTTCATCACTATCAGTATCAGAAATGTGCCGGTACATGTCACAACACAATATTGAATTGTCAAATGGTGATTTCATCTAGGCAACATTTTCTGAATGGTGTTTGTATCCTTCAAGGGTATCATTTCTCACGGTCCCTGTTATCCACTGGTAAATGCACGCATACACATGCGGGTAGCAAAACTGCAACAGGTGAATTTGTTTCTGTTTGTCTAGATCCCATATTTGACACAGCTTAACTGACAGCTGTTTGCTAAAAAGTTAACATCCAACTATTCAGGTCATCCTTACAAGCGCAGCAAAACATTCAATATTTAATTGATAAAATACACAGGGCAATACAGGCAGATCTAAGCTATAAAAGCAGTATGGTGCTGGCAAACATACAGACTGTAACGTACATTGCAGTTGGCAGAATTGCAGCAGTTTATGAGCTGTACTGTTATTAGTTTGCTATCTTTTTATAATCAGCTATTTGTTCGTAAATGTGTGCAGATAATTGATAGGGATCTATAGTGCAAGGTTTAACAACAGTGATAGTGCAACAGGGATAGACAGACATGACATTTCTGCTGGCATGATGTACCGCCAACCTATGGCTAGTCTCGATTCCAAGACGTCTTTGTGGTGCGATGTTTCAGCGAGCATGGATTATTGGACTGTGCAGCGATTCACCGAAGCAGGCACCCGCAACACACACGCTAATAGCTACAGGCTGCAAAGGATGTCTTGGGAATTTCGTATTTCTGCTTGGGAAATTTCGGACAGAATTGTGTGTGCATAAATTTGCATATAGGCCTATGCGCTTGACGTAAGCATGTCCGGTTTACCATGCCTGTACAGCATGCAAGCGAGCTGTTGAATAAAAAAAGTCAACCATGTGGACGAGCAATCAATTTGGCAGCAAAGTAGGAAGGCTAAAAATCATTGCTCTCCATCAATTTGGACGTGGCCATGATTCAACAGAACTGGTAGAAATTGCACGTGTACTGTACGTCGCCTGACTAATAGTTTTCGTAACAGCTCTTTGTTTCCACCGATGCGCATGTGCTGCTATTTTACATGAAGTCACACACTGTTGCAATGCGAAATTCTCAAGACGTCCGAGTGGTTTGTGAATGTGAACATGTACATGCATGCTGTTTCACGGAATACAAAAGCTGTACCATCTATCGTGAACTACCCCGCTATAAGAACATCTTGCACCCAGACTAACTTATGGCAAGGCCAATTGTGGGAAGTCCATGGGCAGTGGGAGGGGGGGGGGCCTCCCCCATCAGATATGAACCAAAAAAGGAGTGAGGGAATAAGATGTGAACATTGAAAATCAGTAGTGTTGTTGATTTACAAATTAAATAGATGCTGGAAAGGGGCTTAAAATGCTACCAAGCATACCAGTAGTAAATAATTTGAACAACACCTTTTAGAATTGTCCACAGCCAGAGATTTCTTGGTGCGCCACATGCTTATTCAGTACTTTGTCCTCCCTCTAGAAAAAAAATTCTGGTGATACCTGTGAGTGTGACCATGTCACTTGAGTTCTGTTGTGACTGTTATTCTTAAGTGCTTTTTAATCCGGGGCCACTGACCAATAAAAAAAAATGCAATTTATTTGTAAATAGAACATCAATAATGTGTATGTTTTTTTTTAATTCAACACCTGGTTTAAAGATTTATGATGCTTCTAGACACATACTAGCTTAAAATGCTTTTACAGAACACAGATGTACTTGAACTTTTCATCCAGCAGCAAACTTTGGTCTGACTCACAAACATGCAAAATTGTTCTGCCCGAAATGCATCACAGTGTGTGTGCATGAGTATTTAAAGTACGTGCAGTACGTGCAGCTACATGTACATGTATTGGAAATAATAGATAGTCAACTGAATGAGCAGGACTACTTGATGTCTTTGTTGAAAGGAAATGCAGCGATGCATGCATATTCTATACAAGTTAGAGTCGGGAAAGGATTTGAATAATTATGCAGGAATAGCAGTTGTTTTGCAACTATTCATCCAGAATAAGAATTCACAACATTAATTCCTCAGCAGTGGTTCATGCTTCATAAGCAACATGCGTTCTGTTGACTTACAGCACAATAATAAGCCTCTGTACTGATGATGTCACACTTAGTTTACATGTGTGCTTTCTTATGGGAGCCTGGTGGGGACGATGGTTTCGTAGCCGCATAAACAAAGTGTGAGGTCATCAGTACAGAGGCTTATAAAATCAACACGTCTAAATGTTCACACTTTAGAGGGTGCCAGGCGGGTTGCCTGTTTTCTGAAGGGTGCAGACCTGCAAATCAACTCCCATAGATCCCAATGGTAATTACGCATACTTCCAAAATTTATAACAAAAAAAAATACTCACAACTCTCCATGGTGTTTGAGACACTCATCAAATTATAGCTTGTTTCATCATCTTTCAGTTTCTGTTAAATTTTTTGGGGGTAATCTGATAACTTGGGAGAAATTGCTACTCGAAGATGACCACCCTCTAAAAGTAGTGGTGAAGCCCATCGCCATCTTGAAAAATGATGCCTACACTCCATTGCAAAATAGAGCCATTTTAACGGCCCGATTCCATTCAAATTACAGAGAATTAAAAGCTTGATATCACTGGCACGGCTTCTGCCCTTCTTTTCTACAAACCTTCAAGTTCATGGCCCACAAAATGCTGTAAATAATAGCAAAGATTTTGAGGGTACACAAATTGTGATTTGGCTCACGTAGGCACCCTGAAGCCAGAAAACCAAAATACAAAATAGGCTTTACTAAGCAGTACGTGATACATCATGACTGTGCTGTACTTATTATAGTGTAATATGTTGGACAAAATGTAAGAGCCATGTCATGTCTGCAGTGTGCCATAGTACTTTGGCTTTGTCTGGAAGTGGGCACAATATGCATTACACAGCTGTAACTAATGTTCTATTGTGTGATATTGCGCACTCTCTGACCTGTACCAGGCTACTAGCTTTCACGTTATGATAACCCTTACCCTCAATCCTCCAAAATCCTCACTGTGGTTTAAAAAAAGGGGGACTCATTATGCCCACCTCGAAACGGTTGTTACCACCTGTCAATTTTCTGAAAATTTTGCTGGTATCCTCCATTTGAACATAAGTGCAAAGAGGCCCTAGGGGGTAAGGGTTCGCGCAGCAAGGAACACAGCCGAAAGATGATGCAATCTTGACCTGGGTCATGTATAATGCCATGGGACCGTCTACTCTTAGCCAATCTGCTCTGAACAACAATAATGATACACCATTGCAGCCAACTGCTGAACACACACGTGTGCAGTTAGTGAAACGGTGATTTTGACAGCACTATGGTATGTTGGGCTTCACATAAAAATGAACAGCATTTTTAATAAGGTTGAACTCTTAACAATATATGACAAGTATAGACTTAATGCTTCCTGTCAATGGCCTTGCATGAATTGTGCAGATTATACAGCTAGTGCGAAGATATGCCTAGTGTACGTGTACGTCACTACATGTATAGGTAAATAGCTGCACAGCCTTCCAAGTAATCTTGTTTTCTAATAAAAAAGGAAAATGACTCCCTGCAGTGCTAGTGCTGAGGCCAAAAACAAAAAATAGTTCTGCTTCTGATTACATGGCATTTAAAAACAGGGTAGTACACATTTGGGGGGGGGGGCAATTTTTTGTGTACGATCATATGGAGGTGTCTGCATGTAGTCAAGGGTAAAAGGTAGTGATTGATGATTTTCAGGGTTTTTTTCTCATTTTTTCCCCCCCCAAAAATTAGGGTACTAGCTGTCAGAATACCCGGTAGGCAAGGTAGCCAGAAGCAGAACTATTATTTTTTGTGGCCTGAAGTAATTAGCCTGTGATCAGTGTGATGTGAATGAACCATGGCGCGTTTACAGTGCATGGCTAGATATGATATGATATGTAATTAAAAATGGGCATCTTTGATATTTCTTATTCAGAACGTTCATCAGCCAAGCTTGGGGAAAGATATGAGTGCAACTTCAATGGCACGGACGGGGAGACATCAAAATTGCAGCGAGGAATTTGACCGTACGAACTCTAGACAAAGTGATCAAAAGTCACAGGAATCAGAAAGTAATTGCCAGGAGAATAGTCGACAGTGAGCGGTTATCTTCATCAGTGTGACGGTGTACCTCATCTGTATATAGATTTTTACCTTTGTATATTTGGTAGGTAATACCCTTACTTTCATTATAATTCCTTCAAAGTTTGCTTCTATTTTTTTTTCTTTTTTATATGTATACTGATACTGACCATTCCTTTTTTCACTTTTTTTCTTCTAAATTTCTGTAAATATTATTACAGAAAAAAGAGTTCCTCTTTTTTCAATCAATTATTAAAATCAAACATTTAAATTACTCTGCAAGATATACAGGTCCCGCAAAAAATCTAACGGTTGAATCGGGCAAGTTTTCAGAAAAGTGGGGGTAGTATTCAAAATCGTATCTTATGTATTGCTGAGTAAAATAATTGGTCTTCCAAATGTTTTTTAGTTGGTCTCATTAGGATGTTTTGTTTAAAAGATACAGCAATCACAATACGGGACTTGAAAAACCACTTGGGCCACTTTTTTTATTTATATCTCCTGGTCTTCCAAAAAAATCCTTTGTCCTAATGATAAACTGATAAGCTGCACTAACACATTTGACCCATCTTTTGTGTGTTTCTCTAACTGCGCTTTCTCACTTTCAAGGAAAGTGGCCCAAGAAGATTTTCAACCCTTTAGTTCGATGAAGCATTGCGTTTGTTCCAATGCATCGATTTGAGTGAAATAAAGTTTGTATGGTAGATTAGACAAATCTTACTTTAAGAGGTAATTTGAAAATATTCCAAAACTCACATGCAATATACCTTTATTAAAAACCCTAACCCTCCCAAATCCTCCCAAATCCTCTTTGCAAAATGGAGGATTTTGCAGGATTGAGGTAACATGGCAAAATTGTGTTGTTGATTTCGCAGGATGCACTGTTTCAAGTTCTTGAGCCGGACCTTGTGTTGTTTATGCTCAGCCGTGCATACATTTAGGCCTAGATTATACTTGCAATCCTCCGCACTGCTCCAGGATGTCACTGGCTCTGCCTCAACAAATTGACAGTGATTGTCAGAGGATTTTGCAGGATTGAGGCAGTGGTCACCCCTCTAAGAACCACATTCAAGAAATAACAGAGGATTTTGCAGTATTGAGGCTATATTCTGTTTTTAAATGGAGGCAGTTGGAAGATTTTGCAGGATTGAGGTTACATCCTTGCAAAAGTGCCAGGGAGTTAGGGTTAATTGTTTTTCGACTGTTTAAAGGTTCTTTGTGGGACAGGCTGTATGTGTAAGCATTATTTTCTAACAGATTTATTCATAAAAGTTTGACATCTCTTAAATCTAAAAAATAATCAAATATCCAGAAATATATACATGCTCAGTCATTTCTAAACAGAAATACTTATTCTAATATTAGCTGATGTCTTTCTTTTTGCTCTGCAGGACAAAGCTTCGTGCCTGAAATCCGTGCAATACCAAACTTTTGTACCAGAAAATATAAATTTTGTGAGGAAATTTCTCATGCCTAGAATTATTGATCAGATTTGGGTCTTTTCTGAGCATATGTAAAATCCTGGTTGTTGTTTTTTTATAAGTGAAGGGAGCTTTGAGCGTATAATCTTTTTTTGAAATTTCAAAAATAAAACGGTTGGGTTTTTGTTTTTGGGTGTCATTCCTCAATCAAAATGGTTGGGTTTCAACCCACCGAGATACCACCCACATTGGGTATGAAATTTATCAGTGCCGGCCTGGCAGCATGTATTGCTGACGCAGGAACGTTTCCCTTGGACACAGCAAAAGTACGACTACAGGTGAGATTGTAAAAACATTGTCTTGCAGTTTGTTACATGGTATACAAATATAACATGGTCTGAGGGTGGACAGTCGATATTAGCTCCCGAGGTATTGGTAGTTGACAAAGAGGGAACTAGTTTGTCAACTTCCAATGCCAAGGGGAGCTAATATCGATTATCTACCCGAACTTAACCATGTTACATTTGTTTTACTATACCTCATACATATTCAGTTGCTGAATGTTCCCATTTCAGTACGTACCTCGTGGGCATAAAATCTTTAGAGAAACTTGTCCAAATCACCTCGGAAAAGTTCAGTTCTTTTGCAAAACAGTAACTCCTAAGAGTTTATACTGCATTGTAGACTACTTTTTAGTTGGGGAGGCATCTTTATTGTCCACAATATTTTTCAGTTCGGCATCATTAAGCTCTAGAAAACGCTAATTAACATTATGTGTAGCCATCATAATTATGTAGCCAGCTAGGGCAATGTTCGCACGTGCGTACATCCCTGCAACAGTTCCACGACTGCATCGTAATGCACATACAAAGTAAACTGTCCCACAGGTAGCCTGTGCGACAGTCTACTACATAGGCGCCGCGTATAAACCATGCGTGAATACTCGCGTGTGCCGTTTTTAAACAGCAAAAATAGCATCCAGCACGTGATGGTGAATGGAGTGGACCCAGTGAGAATTGGCTCTTGATCATGAATATGTATGAGGTATAGTAATATGTGTATAACATAACTTAATGGGAATGGGAAATACTATTCAACAGATAGGATAATTCTTGTTCCATGACAACGTATTTGTGTGCAAATGCATGCTGGTGTGCGCATTAAACAATTGTTGACTGGTGTGATGTGGAATATGACATTTTGAAAACCCGAGGGGCGCATAGCACCTGAGGCGAAGCCAAGGGTGCTTTGCGCCCCACGAAAACAAACAGCAGTAAACACAACAATCATGACAATCGAACGTCAACTCACATGCATGTCGCGTGCTCGAAACAGCTTATAGTTTCCAAGTTCGCTGCGTTTTACGTGTGAAACACGTATGTGTACCTACCATACGCACAAAAGTCATAGCACACTCCCTGTGGGATATCCCACAGTGAGCGTGCTATGACTTTTTATAAACTAAACACATGATTGTTCTAGGTCAATGAAAATACAGTATTCAAGACAGAGGTATAACAATCAGTGTTGCGCGTAGCGCGTATTGTTCCAAAGAGCCAGCGCTATAGCGTTCGGTTCAAACATTTTCGTGAAGGGGTGGTGTGTAAGAGAGAAATACAAGTCCCACCAATTTTGTATTGAAATAAAAGTTCAAATATATCAAATGACAAGGATCTGTATGTCAGTTATATAAAACAAATATTGACTGGCTTTAAATTGTGAAATGGGAGGAATTTTATCGCTCGGTAAAATCTGGACTTTCCAGTTCACTCGGCTTTCCCTCGTGAAATGGAAAAGTCCAGATATTACCTTGCGATAATATCCCTCCCATTTTACTCTGAGCTGCTCAATATTTGTGTACTATGACCATCCTGCCTCTCACCTCCAAAATACACAAAAGCTATTTTCACTGTACGTATGCATGTCCCACTCAATCCAACAAGTCAGGAAGAGATAAATAATGCAACTCCCACTCAACAAAAATTAAATCTTTTTATAATGACATTTTCCTTTTCTCATGATTTTATAAGATTCAAGGTGAGAGTTCTTCGGCACAGAAGCAGGGTTTCTCCTTTTCCAAAGCCAAAGAAGAGAAAGCTAAATTCAAGTACCGTGGAATCTTCGGCACTATCACCACCATCATACGACAGGAGGGGCCTCGCAGCCTATACAACGGTCTGGTACCCGGACTGCAGCGGCAAATGTGCTTCGCATCAGTCCGGATTGGACTGTACGATTCAGTGAAGCAGTTGTACACAGGTAGACACTTCGGCAACTCCGGTGGGTTTATTCTAGTCCTTGTTCTCTGTCATCATTGCGCTTGATTTCCAACACCAAGCTTTTCCAATACCACGCTTTTCCAATCATGGAAACATTGCATCAGTGACCGACGGTGATCAGTGACCGACGGTGCAGTGATCCAAGCTTGAGTTCTGTGTCAAAGGTCAAGCACACCTTCCATCATTGTGTAATGTGTGACCGATTTCCAAATCGAAATTGACGTGCCTTGGGATGCGTAATTCCTGTGCATTGGTTCCAAGATTCATATTGAAAGAACTGAAATTGATTTGTCAACATTACAGAAAATTGTAACTTAATCATCAGATGGCGTGCTTTGAGCATCTTTATTTGACTCCTGTAAATTAACGAGACATACTTTCAGCTATGCGTGTCTGAAGACATTGCAAAATCCATTGCTACAGAAAATGTCGGCTTGTAACATATATCCATTCATTTATGGAGACTTAAGAAAAAGGTCTTCGTTCATTGACCATACATATGTGTATCCACACATTTTCAGTGAATATGATATTTCATGCCAACCTCAACAACTAATCCACTGCTTACAAAAAGTAAAAAATCATGTCATATTGGAACTATGGAGGTAGTCACGTTTATAATTGACCAATGACAGCGCATTGTGGTGAAGATAAAGGATTTTGATAAACCTGTTTTTGTATTCTTGTGTTAAACTATATTTTCAATTGAACTTTTTTTTTTTTTCATTTCAGCACATATTTTCCAAGGAAGACACTTCAAATTGACAAATTTAATGGTCAGACAAGGGTACTTACAAAATGGCAAAGGGTTTATCATGAGAGTGAAATAAATGTAAATGAAACATGGCAAAAGAATCAACTTATTATTTAATTTTGGGAGATCTACTTGTATATTTCAAAAAGAGTATTTTGAAGTAAGAATACTCAATGCCAAAATAAAAACCGCCACAAAAAAAAGTCCACACTCATTGGAGGGGTCACAATTTTGAATCTGATCATCTCATGATGACGTCATTTATATAGACCTTTGGGAATGTTGTTAGCTACATTTTGATACCCCATTTGCTACCAAAGACTGTAAATCATTCAACACCAACAACGGTTTATGAACATTGATGCAGTTTGAAAAGTCGAGTGGAAATTGCTGCGTGACAATGTGACACTGCCTGAAACGAACGGCAGGGAATATGAATCGCACCGTGCTTGTATGCATGGAAGCACGTGGAATTGTTGGGGCACTGTGCAGTCGATAGGGGCCAATGAATTACTGGCATGTTTGTTGGCGCTTAGCAATTTCTCCTCGTGTTTCTCTTAAATTGCAACTTTTCAAACTGCATCTCTTTTTAATAAACCGTTGTCAATCTTGGACAATGTACAGTTTTTGGTAGCAAACGGGGTATCAAAATGTAGCTAACATAATTCTCTCTATAAAGGTCCATATAAATGACATCAGTAATAAGACATTCAGATTCAAACTTATGACCTCTCCACTGAGTGTGGACTTTCTTTTTTTCCGGTGTTTATCCGAGAATGAGAAAAGTGTGGAGATTTCATCCAAATGTCCGTTAGTCACCGGACAGTTTTCTAAGTGAAATGACACGGAATTATCTGGCAGCAGATGTATTTCATATATGCATGAAATCTGAAGCTTATTACATGCTTCATCTCTGTGTAACACTGGTTGCATTATATCACTGTTGCATTACATGGCCTTACTTATTTAAGACTCACCAACTTTGGATTTACATTCAGACATTTGTTAAAAAGTTTTTTGAAGACATGTTTTGAAAAAGAGTGCAACGATGCTGTTGTCCTTTTCCCTTATTTATTCTATTGGTGACTTTTATTCTGCTTCTGGTTTGTTTAAAGGTTACATGGGAATGCACATTGTGACGAGAATTTTAGCCGGTATAACAACTGGGGCCTTGGCAGTGTCATTGGCTCAGCCGACAGATGTGGTGAAAGTACGCATGCAAGCACAGACTAACATTGATCCCACCAAACCCAAGCGGTATACAGGAGCTGTGCATGCGTACCGGACGATAGCCCGGACTGAAGGCGTCAGGGGGCTTTGGAAAGGTGAGCAGTCTGTTGACTATAGGCCTGACCTCAAATCACACATGTTTATATAACTGACATACAGATCCTTGTCATTTGATTGGTAGAACTCACATCACATGACATTCATTATTGCTCATAAAGGTCAAGTCGAGTCGAGTCACAGTGTGTTTTCGAGTCGTCGAGTCAAGTATTTAGCTCGAGTCAATACGAGTCACAAATATTTGAACTCTATACAATAAATAAACACAAGAGAGAAAGTAATTTTTTTGGCTTTCTTTAATTTTACATTCGGGCTACTACATGTGGTGACATCATATTTGACTCTTAATGAAAATAAAAAGGGGGTGCCAGCTGATCGCCATTCAACTAATGGGGATACTGATCAAACACGTATGTATACGCGAACATACTATATGTGACGTAAACAGAAACCGGCACCGGCGTAAGTCATTGCAAATATTTTTCGCAAAGTTTTGGTTTTATTTTTAGGACTTGAGTCTTATTAGCCTTCCTCGAGTCGAGTCGAGTCATTCTGATGAGGGACGCGAGTCGAGTCAAGTCATTTGCCCGCAGTGACTCAAGTCGAGTCGAGTCATTTGCCTGTCGGGACTCGAGTCGAGTCGCCAGAAATTGTGACTCGAGTCGGACTCGAGTCGAGTCATTGACTCGAGACATTACAACTCTGTACCATTCACGCAGGGCTCAAAAAGTGCCATTCGCCCATGGTGAATGGGATTTACTATTCAACAGTTAGGATCATCTTTGAGTGCAAGTGCATGTTGGTGTGCACATTGAGCATTGCGCGTAGCGTGTATTGTTCCTAATAGCCAGTAGCTATACAGAGTTGGGTTCGAGCATTTCGTGAAGGGGTGGTTTGGAAGAGAGAAATACATTTCTCACCAAGTTTGTATTGAAATAAGAGTTCATTTTAACTTTAAATCAAATGATAAGGATCTATATGTCAGTCATATAAAACAAATATTGGTGGCTTTAAATTGTGAAGTTAGAGGAATATTATCGCTCAGTAAAATCTGGACTTCACGAGGCGAAGCCGAGTGAAATAGAAAAGTCTGGATTTTACCTTGCGATAATATTCCTCCCATTCCACTCTGAGCCACTCAATACTAATCCATGATTTGCTATAGCCCGAATTCCACCTTCTTTATGTTTTGGGGCAAAAACTCCAGCATTCCATCCTTCATAAGCCGGAAAAATAAATCCTTGTATTGCGGGCTTGGAGAGAAAAACATGATAATAAAACCAAACAACCGCATGTTGTAATTTAGCCACTCTGCTGTGCATTGTTTGATCGTCGCTCATGAGCCAATAAGAAAATTGGTTATGTGCTACGTTTTGTCATACTAGACTCATACCAAGTGCACTCAATCAAAGGTTTTTTCCTACATGGACACACAACATTCACATGTGTGCAGTAAACGATAGTGTCAAAATTAGGTTCTTGAGCAGAAACCCACTGGACTAGTCTCAGACTCTAAATCAGCAGTTAGAAATTTTTTAGCTGATCTTATGGGGAAATACCGCACAGGGCAGGTGGTTGTATTCTCAATATTTATCGTAAGTCCGAAGTGCCTTGTTACATTATTCGATGACCTCTTATCTTTGCAGGAACAATGCCCAATATTACGCGGAATGCTATTGTCAACGCTAGCGAATTGGTGGCCTATGACATGATCAAAGAGCGCATTCTCAAGACGGGGCTTTTAGCCGACATGTTCCCCCTCCACTTCATCTCAGCGTTTGGTGCCGGGTTTGTCACTACGTGTGTTGCCTCCCCTGTGGATGTGGTCAAAACCAGGTACATGAACTCCCCACCAGGCCAGTACAAAGGAGCCATTGATGTAGCAGTCAAGATGTTTAGGGAAGGTGGTCCTCTGGCGTTTTATAAAGGGTAAGGTGGACTCTTAGGTCCATTACACTTAAGTTTTTACCTTTTGGGGGTACTTTTACTTTTTGCAAGTTGTCATGAATTCTAGGTTGATAGGCCATATCTTAATTACTTGGCACAGCCAGGAATAACATGCACATCTATGGAAGCCATAGGCTAGTGCTACAGCCACTTCCATTAGACTTGTGTGTTATTTTCGGCCTTAGCCAAGTGATTCCATCTTAGCCGTAGTCTTGGTCAGCGGCTGGATTTGGATTTTGTTCCCCTAAGGCAGCTGGTCCGTGACAAACATGGTCAAGCTGCTGTAGTGGCAAAGGTGCTATCAACAAGAAAAATCAAAGCCAGTATTGGGAATGTGGGCACTTGGACCCGGGAAAAATTCCAAGCATACCTCATTAGATTGATTTAGATTAGATTGATTTTAGCACGCATGAGATGAGGCAAGCTCAGAATTTGTTAGGTTCGGTGTCAAGGCTGCCAGGACTGGATATGATTTATCCTGTTGATAGTGCCCTCTACCAGCACAGTGGCTTGACTGTGCTAATCAGGGACCATGCAGCCGCATTAGCTGAGCAAAATCGGACCATGCTTGTTGGGGATCAGGACCGGCTATATTTGGGGAGCGTGTTGTCACGTCCTCTGGCGCGAACTGGATAAATAGAGTAGAATAAGAAGGTTTCAGCTGTGTGCATTGCAGTCGACCCATTGCAAGTCTAAATACATTCAAAGTGATGGACTAATCAGAAGTTGGATTGGGAAAAGGCTCGAACACAGATTCCAAAGAAAGAAACAATTTTTTTCCTATATGGACAGCAAAAACTAGGTGTGATGAAACTGCATTTTCAGTTTCTATTCATACATCTTTAAACTATGAATATGAACCTGGGTAAAGACACAAGAAGATCCGACGGAAATTATTAACGGTGCTTCTTAAGACGCACCGTTGGAAAGGCCTTCTTTCGTTGATTTCTTCAAAATGACAGCTTGCCAGAAAGAATAATTTCACAGGGAATTTAGTCCCCTTACTATCTTTCAACCAAGTTTTTCAACAATAAATATGCCAGTTACTTTTTGGATAAATGCAAATGATGGACTCTGGCTTTAAAATTGCTATATCACCCTTTTCACCTTTCTAGATTCATGCCGAATTTTGTACGTCTTGGCTCCTGGAACATCGCCATGTTTGTTTGCTATGAGCAACTGAAGCGAGGCTGCGTAATCATGTTCAACTAGTCCCACCTGGCCTAGATGACCCCTGGGTCATTAGAGGTCAGTGACCTTCAGCTAGCAACATTCAAAGAGGTCCAACAAGTTGATTTATCAGTTAAAACCTAAACAAAGGTGAAGCATTTGGGAGGAATGAAGTTTTTAAAAAGCATTGTGCTGGATTGCTAGCTGAAATGTACTCGCTGTAATGTTGTGCTAATTGTAATGAGTGTACACTCAATGATGAAAGGGGCAATGGTTCTCAAGCTGATTTATGGAGTGTACTTTACCAGAGAGACACAACACCGGAAGTTGCTGGAATGTTGGCTGGCTGACATTGGACAGTGTAGACACTACTTTGGTCAATCAGTTTAGAATCTGTGTCCTGTGAATGCGAGTATTTCGATGAACTCCCAATGTGACTTCTAAATTCTTCCATTTAAAAGCCATGCAACTCTGAAATTAGCTACTGAAAAAGCCATTTGCGAGTCAAATTTAAATAAAATCTTGGAACGCTGACTTAATCCAATGCTTTGCACACTTTAACTTTGCATTCTCCTGACCAAAGAGACTGTTACTATATCACTTGCTCGGGGCAAGCCTTACGCTAGCAACCCCAGCTCCGGCATGGTCAGGTGTCTTTGGGCCCATTGTGAACATATTGTATTGTATAAAATATTGGTGCTAAGCGTTTTATGTCACTATGCAAGAGCTTGCCCTGCATCATGTGATGCAAGAACAGTGTCTTAGGTCTGGAGATATTCAAAGTTAAAATGTGCCAAGCATTCTGAGCAAGTCAGTGTACCAGATGTTTTTCAAATTTAAATCCCAAAGGGTATAGGTCACTCGCAATGGCTTATTGGATTACACATACATGTAAGACATCAAAATTGATGTTTTTGGAGTTAAAATATGCCTGATTTCCTTTCCCGAGACGTTGGAAAGCAGGGAAGCAAAATTGACTTGTGTACTGTATTTCCCCACCAAGAAACTATACCATGGCTAATACCTTAGGCTAATCTTAGCAATGGATATCCCATAATAAAACCAGGGCTGCTATTTGAATTGACCTCTATCAATGTGACTGTCGTAGGTGGGTGCTGGTTGCCTGAGTTGCTGGCTCCAAGCTCCAACAGAATATTTGGTGATTTGTTGGAAAATACTTCTTGGCTTTAATAAAGAAGTCAGAGAAAAGTTTGCAAACACAAGTCAAAATATTCAATGCCTCTTTAATTTTCAACATCAAAGTTGACGTTTAGCAGCCTCAGTTGTATAGTAGCTTTGATTTGTGACCCTATTTTTAAATTTGGAAAGGGAAGGGGTTTTTTTTAGTGGTGATTTTGTTGTTTTTATTTTCAAACGTATGCCGGGGAGTACTGGAAGAATTGTATTGGAATATGATCTAGCAAAAGGGGATTCTTTTCTCATTTGTATCTAAATAATACCCAGAATGAGCTATTTTTCGTACAAATGCACTGTGCTGAATATTTCAATTGGAATGTCTAATTTACTCATTGTAGACGGCCGGCACCAAAAGCAAACTTCAGGATTTGAATGTAAAATGTTTTCATTAGAGTTAACACATTTTTTTTTTTTGGACTTATAGCAGCTTTGAATCACTGCAAGAATGTTTACGTAAATTGGAGCGCCTCAAGTGCCTGTAATTTGCATAATCATTTGGATATTTTGTAAATGGATCAATTTAATGGCATCAGGAATCAGTGCTGCAGTTACAGGCAGTACTCGTATTGATTTTTGTAGATTTGTACCTAATGAAGATTAATGTAAATTATATTGTTCAGAAAAGTTAGTGTAAAAGTTATGCAGATATTTGTAAATATAAACAAAGAGGCTTCGCCTCGCCTTACTACGTGGGGGAGGTGACATCACCGCCTGTCATCCGCTCCGTGTCCTCAGGCAAGTTCCCGGGCAACTCGTGAACACTCACACTCATACACGTGTACTCGTACCGCTGTATTATAGCGATGATTGAAGATGAAGTACATGTACATGTATGTATATGCACTTAACATAAGCACAAACAAGAGAGTTTTGACGATTGTTATAGACCATTTCATCGCCAACCAAGAACGCTTATTTCATGAAGCCATCTAGCAATGCTCTTGAACTTTCTTTGAAACAACAATGTTACAACAGTGCATGCTTGTGCATCTCTACATTAAAAAGACATTCACCCTTATTTGGTTATGGGCTCTGTGAGCCAACAAAAGAGAGTCCTGAGGACGGTACACACATCGTGTAACTGGTTCACACGCGAAGTGCGCATGACTGCATGAGTAGGCCAAAGCTATTAGCTACAGCCTCTTCACTTAAGCGTCAGGCGTCATCGGCGTTTGAATAAATTCGTATTTAACTTGCGATGGTCTCCCAGACTAATCCCCGCCCCCAATAACTTTGGACCATTCCAAATATGCAGTGAATGGACCAGAAACCAATCTGGGTCTCTCACAACTCCCTTTTCTGACCGTTGAAGGGGTATAGGTGCACGGAGCCCATACTAAGCCACCCACATGTATCTGGCTAAATTTACCAGATGATTTGTGAGAAGTGTGTTATGTGTGGCTGTGAAATAACTGAACTTGATGAAGTGGTCTACAGCAAGAATGTAAACTATAGTCTGTTTTAGTAACCAACTTAGTTTTATCCCGATACTACATTTATTACTGGCTGATATTTCAGAAACCATTCGGGCTTCATGATGCTGAAATTCATCAACAAAAATAAAGAAACCTTCTATTTTGACATAGAAGGCCAGTGCCCTCTTCGCCTTCCATGCATTTTATTAACATTCACCTAGCCTCAGCTTCTGAGCAGAGGTTTTTTAGAAAATAAAATAGTGGTGCATGTATATTAATTTAACAGATATTTTTGTAATCTTCTTATATTGTACAGCTGATCTGTTTTTTTTCTTCACTTGAATGGATTGTTGAGAAAGGGATTTCTCATTCTCAGATTGTTTACTTCATTGCCACTTATTTTGGCTATGGTGTGATTCACATGTGTCTCTCCATGGTCAACTTGTTAGACTAATTTTTTTAATCCTAAGACAAAATATAGAAACACAACTGTCATGGGAGACATATATAACTACAGCATTTATCCAAGAATAAATTTATTTATTAATATAAATTTTTTGTTCTCTCGATTTTAACAGGGCAAATTTGTTTTACAAACCTAGTGCCACTAAACTGGTACGACAGACCAACATCCCAAATGTCAAAAAAGGAGTTCTAGCGCCCCAGTTGGTGGGACTATTGCAAACCAATAGTCAGTTTTAACTTAACATTGTAAAAAAAACTGTATTAGTACACATGTATTATTATTATTTTGCTGAAATTTGAAGTAACTTGAGATGGTACAAATTAATAGTGTAGCTGAAATTCCGGTGGCATCATTTTTCTATGGGGAACATGTGTTCAAATTTGTCTTCTTTTTTTCATTGTACAGTCATTCAAATATGCCCTGACTTAGGTTCGCTAGTAAGGTAGGGCCATAGTCTATATATAGTTGTCTAGAGTCGTCCTGTTATTATCTGATTATGTCCGAATGGGTGTGTTGAAATGAATTAACACATAACTTCAAAAGTTAGCATTTCGCTGTCAAGGTTTGACATATGTTCTTATCGCGTGTCTTGTGTTGTTATTAATATAAAGACAAAAGAAGTAGCTATTTCTTTATAACTTTGCGATCAACAGAGGGCGCTCTTACAAATTATAAGCAGTTAATTTGGCACCAAAATGTATTTATTGGGATGAAATTATGGAACATAGAAAAAAAGGCGGCGATTTCTTACACATTTTGGTAGTCTTGGTTTCAAGACCTTCGTGTTTATGTTTACCAAAATTTCTAGAAAGAATATATAGGTTTTCCCGGCCAATTTCCTAAAATGTTTATTCGCTTCTGAAACTCATTAATTTTCGTCTGAATTTGGGAATCACTCTGAACATGCGTGTAGCGATTCCATCTAATCGATGCATTGTAGCAAGTCTAATCCATGTATCCCAGCATGCATCACTCCTAACATGGCCGCTCACTGTTCGTACGTGAACTCGTGTTGTCGTCCAATAAACCTGGAATAGTTCCCAACATATCGGAGTCTATAATTTTCTTCATGGTGTCAGTAAGTACAGGATTCGTTTCTTAATACATCATGGCTACTTTCGGCAATATTGGAGAGTTTTGTGAAAAGAAAGAGACGTGGGAAATGTACACTGATCGTCTCGGCGAATATGGGTCGCACTAAACAGCGTCAACACAGCGTCAACACAGCGTCAACACATGACAGAAGCGTCAACACACCGTCAACACATCCAAAACACATTCTGAATTGACAAAAAGGGCATATAATTGTGAAACATACAATAAAAGAGAATTTCCATTGGATTGAGTTTCCATTTCGTTGTGAAAAATATCGTATTTTCACGCGAAAAAAATGACCTTAACTTGCACGGCCGTTGTCCGCCATCTTGACTTCGCACAAAGCTTGGACTACACCATTTCAAGTAGGGGTGTGAAGGTAATGACATTATCTTGTCATAAACAACAGAGGGCGCCTTGCTGCAGACTAGACAGAGGGATACCAGATCTGTGTGAGGACTAATTAGGATCGGAGGAGTGGCAGATCATTATTTTGTGAGTTGTGTTTATGTTTTGGTCTTTGCAGATATTTTTAACACTGGCGACCCCGGCCGCGTCCCTCTCTGTTGGTTTATTGTACAACGCTATCACCCTTTAGAATAATGGTATGGTCCGCGCTGCCACTGAGGCAACATGGCGGGTGTTCGGCAGCTGATTTCGGAGCGGCACGGAGAGCCAATTTTCTTGAACTAAAAATCGCGATTTTCAGACGTTTAACCTATTGATTTTAAGCACAAATCTTGTTTCTGTCCATACTGTATGGGTTACATACTGCTTTTGTCAATTTTAATGCATTTTGGATGTGTTGACGCTGTGTTGACGCTGTGTTGACGCTTTGGAGTGTGTTGACGCTGTGTTGACGCTGTTTAGTATGACCGGCGAATATTTCGCGGCGAACAATATCTCCGACGCAGCACGCAAAAGGGCCATACTCAACTCTGTCGTTGGTTCACAAACATATAAGCTGATTAGCGATCTTCTTGCCCCTAAGAAACCAAACGAAGCTACATATCAAGAACTAGTGGACAGACTTGAGAAGCATTTCAAACCCACAAAGTCTAGCATCATTGCTCGCTTTCAATTCAACAGCCGCTGTCGGCGATGTGGTGAATCAATCGCCGAATATTTAGCTGCACTACGTGCACTGGCCAGTGACTGCAAGTTTGGCCAAAACCTTGATGAAATGCTGAGAGACAGACTTGTGTGTGGCGTGCAGAATGAACGCATCCAGAAATCCCTGCTTGCCCAACCAGAGGACAAACTTGACCTCAAGCGCACAGTGGAACTTGCACAATCAATGCAGCTCGCAGGTGATCAGGCAAAGATGTTGTCAGCCTCTACCAGCACAATGGCTGAATCAAATACCACTGTCAACGCTTTCAAAAAGAAACAAGCTCAACGCCTAAACAGACCAACATGGTCAAATCAACGGCAGACATCTGCACGCAGTAGTTCTACACAGCAGCAAAAGCCCAGAAAACCTTGTGGAAATTGTGGAACTTTTCACAAGAGGCGCGAATGCCCAGCCTATGGCAAGACTTGCCACAAATGTAACAAAAAGAATCACTATGCTGATTACTGCAGAAGCAGCCGCCACGTCTACACAGTAAACCCCGATTCATACTCGGAGGAAGATGAACCTGCCGTGGATGAGCAAGAATTATTTTACGTTCGAGCCGTGGACAACACCAACTTGAACTTGAAACATGACATCCACGCTACGCTTGTGGTGAATAACACACACGTTCCTGTCCAACTTGACACTGGTGCACGTTGTAACGTCCTGCCCATGAATGTTTACAACGTCATCGCACCACCTAAGTCCATTGATAATTCAAAGTCAACCAAGCTAATCGCTTATGGAGGAACCGAGCTCCACACAGTTGGACTAGCTACACTGCCATGTCGCATTGACTCATCGCAGACTGAACACAATATTGACTTTCACATTGTTGACACACAAGTGAAAGCTATCCTCGGCTTAACCGATTGCCTCCGTCTAGGCCTGCTGTCTGTCAATAACTTGGTTTACCATGTCTCCAATGACACCACATCGCCTCAAGTCTTCAAAGACTACGAAGACCTGTTTGACAGCTCGCTCGGGTCACTACCAGTCATCTACACCATGACCATAGACCCCAATGCTACGCCGGTTGTCCGACCCCCACGTCGCATCCCTGCTGCAATGCAAGACAAGGTCAAGTCCGAACTGCAACGGATGACTACCTTAGGCGTGATCACTCCAGTCTCCGAACCGACAGACTGGGTTTCCTCCATGGTCGCGACTCATAAGAAAAACAGCGAAGAAATCCGCTTATGCATCGACCCTCGCGACCTTAACGGAGCACTGAAACGCCCACACCACCCTACCCGAACAGTAGAGGAAGTCGCTGCCAAGATGGATGGTGCGACAGTTTTCTCAGTGCTTGATGCTAAATGCTCGTTCTGGCAGATCCCCTTGGATTACGAATCATCACTGCTGACTACATTCAGCACGCCATATGGCAGATACCGCTATCTTCGCATGCCCTACGGCCTCTGTTCTGCCTCCGATGTGTACCAGAGAACCATGGAGCAGATATTCGCCGATCTGCCATGCTCCATCATCGTAGATGACATACTAGTTGGTGGACGCACTAAAGAGGAACATGATCGAAACCTCAAAACTGTCCTTGATCGGATACGCAAAATCAACATGCGCCTCAACCCCACAAAGTGCCGCTTCGGTCTTGAACAAGTCTCATATGTCGGTCACGTCTTCACCGCCAGTGGACTTAAGCCTGACCCAGCTAAAGTCAGTGCTATCACCGACATGCCTCCACCCACTGACGTTACTGCCCTACAACGCTTCCTTGGCATGGTGACATACCTGGCCAAGTTTGTACCCAACTTGAGCGACTTAACAGCCCCACTACGCGAGCTCACACATAGTGACATCCATTGGTGCTGGCTAGAGCAACACAATGCCGCATTTCTAGCAATCAAGGACAAGATTGCTAATGCGCCGACACTCATGTACTTTGATGTCCGCAAGCCAGTCACGTTGACCTGCGATGCCTCCAAGTTTGGCCTTGGCACAGCCTGCCTACAAGAGGGTGCCCCTGTCGCGTATGCTTCACGTACCATGAGTGACACTGAACAACGCTACGCACAGATTGAAAAAGAACTGCTTGCAGTTGTGTTTGCCTGCACCAAGTTCCACGACTACATATACGGTAAAGACATCGTAGTCGAAACTGACCACCAACTATTGGTCACCATCGTCAAAAAGCCTCTGCTGAGTGCCCCTGCGCGGCTTCAACGCATGCTTCTCCGGTTACAGAGGTATAACATCACCCTCGTGTACAAGAAAGGAAAAGAATTGTTCCTTGCCGACACTTTGTCACGTGCACCCTTGACAACGACCGGTACTGAAACTGATGACCTGCAAGTCATGACCCTCCTGCCAATCTCTGACATGCGACTTGAACAGCTCAAGAAAGCAACTGCCTGTGACTCTGCCATGCAACAGCTCACTGTTGTCATCAGTCGCGGATGGCCTTCGCATATCAACAATGCCCCACCAAAGGCCCACCCCTACTTCGCGTTCAGAGATGAACTGGCTTCTCGACCGCGGTATCATCTTAAAGGGACATAAGGCCATCATTCCCAAGTCACTACGCGCAGAATACATCCAAATACTGCATGAAGGTCACCCGGGCATCGAGGCTACCAAACGCAGAGCCAGAGATGTAGTTTACTGGCCATCAATGTGCCTTGATATCGAACAGTCCGTCTCTGGATGCACAGTTTGCAACGCTACCAAAGCCCATCAACAGAAAGAACCACTGAAAAGCTACCCCCCACCCAGCCTACCATGGGAACACATTGGAGTTGACCTATTCCATTGGAACGGTATGGATTACCTAGCCCTTGGTGACTCATACTCCGGCTGGTTTGACTTCGCTTCACTCGACAACACCTGTGCCTCTACAGTCATTGAGGTACTCAAGAGACAATTTTCCATCCATGGAATCCCCCGCATCGTTATCAGTGACAACGCGCGACAATTTGATTGCTTCGCCTTCAAACAATTCGCACAGTCATGGGGCTTCCAGCATACAACCAGCAGTCCCCATTTTCCCCAGTCCAATGGCCTTGCAGAAAGCTCTGTCAAGCGCGCCAAACAACTCCTCGAGAAGACAAAACGCGACGGTTCAGACCTCTACCGAAACCTGCTGAACATTCGCAATGTCCCAACCAACCCCCAGCTTGGCTCACCTTCCCAACGTCTCATGTCACGGCGTCTTCGCACAACCATCCCTACCCCGACGCCACTCCTTAAACCCGCCATTTACACACGCGTCACAGCACAGTTACGCAAGAGGCAACAGCAACAGAAGTCTACATACGACAAATCAGCCAAGCCCCTCCGACCACTGAAACCAGGGCAAGTTGTTCGTCTACAATCACCCAAAGGGCACGACCAGCTTGGAATTGTCCAAAAGCATTCCAGAAACCCCAGATCGTACATCGTCAATGCCCAAGGCACACTCTACCGCCGCAATCGGAGACACTTATTGCCAGTCCCTGAACCACCTCCACAGCAACAACACTCACCTGACTTCTACTTACCGCCACAGGATCCACTGCCTCAGCCTGCCATCCCCCACGCACCTCCACCACAGCCAGTTCTCACTCGCTCCGGTCGCATCTCGAAGCCAAATCCTAAATACATGTACACTTAACAGTTTTGTGTGACTGTTATTGCTTTGCCCGCACTGGATTTGTGTTGTTGATCCAAATTTTAAGCTGATAACTTTGGACTGTCCCCGACTACTGGACTGTTAGTAACTCCATTTGCCTACTCAACATGTGTTATGTGTTGTACACTACAGAGATGAGGGCAGAATAATCCCTTGTACACACATCGAGTACTGAGGGCATTTGAGTTTTGTTTTTGTTTTTTTTACTATATTATTGGTTTAACCCTCTGTTTGTTTTTTAGAGGAAAGGATAGTAATTGTTTATCTTGGTACATTTACATAACCAGTGTGTTTTTTAAATATTCATTAAGTGTTTTCAAATCAGTGAAATACTCGGACTTTAAATTACCAGACTCCAGTTTACAAATTCACTGATCAAACAAATGTTTATTTCATAAAGCTGTTTTATTCAAAATGTTAAAACTAAACTTAGAAGAGAGGATGTAGCGATTCCCATCTAATCGATGCATTGTAGCAAGTCTAATCCATGTATCCCAGCATGCATCACTCCTAACATGGCCGCTCACTGTTCGTACGTGAACTCGTGTTGTCCAATAAACCTGGAATAGTTCCCAACATATCGGAGTCTATAACTTTCTTCAATGCGTTTCATTTTCGCTACCAGAGCATTCGATTCCATTTCAGTTCAATCAATTAAGGGATTGAGCAGCACCTTTCGTTTATGGTCATTCAGATTCGTTTAAAAGACTTCGTTTTCGCTTTTAGAGGACGATTTCAGACATTGACCATTCAGGGCACTTTGATTGGTCACCTGGATTGGTGACTAATCAAAAGTGCCCTATGATTGGTCTGTCTGATGCTTGCCAGGAAACAGTGTAGCCAGAGCTATGAACAAGTCTGCTTTTCCTGAATTCAAAGGTATTTGTATTTTCACTTCCCACTGAAGCCTATAGGGGCGCATAAGGCAGTTTGAAGACCGTTTTGGGGGTGAAATCTGACGATTTTGATTGGGGGTACGAGTGAAAATGGTAAAAAAAAAATATTAGTAACCGCAATACGGCCATCGATCTCAGACTCTACTATCGCCCGACCATGTCCAAATGATGAAAAGCGATCCGTGTGAAAGTATACATAATGCATACGTAACTTGTCTTGGTTCATAAAATCGCCCTTTTAGGTTTAAACGAAACCGAGGTTTCATAACCCTTCCGAGTTCCATCAATCCGGGAGCGTTCATCAAGGGTCACTTTTTTTTTTTTAAACTTGTTGATCTCGTCCTTAACAAAAGCCTTTGTTGATAGAATACTGTACTGTTGAATTTAGAAATTGAAATCAACAAAAATAGGTTAACTGAATGGGGATTCATTTAAGCGCCTCCCACCAAAACCAAATGACCAATCTAAAGCCTCAGCTGGTTTCATCGGATGTACAACTGGCACTGGTTTCTCTTTACTCATCCATCTTTGCAGCGGCGGCGGAACGGTTTTCAAACTTGGGGGGGGGGGTGATCTCCAAAATGGGGCAGTTTGCTCAGTAAAAGGCATCTTCCGTCGGTGCAACAGCGTATTTAGCTTTTTGGGGGGGGGGGGGGGCACATCCGTGCTGAAATGTCGACACGAGTTTTCACCGGACAATCTTCCAAAATAGGGGGCGCTCTTCAAAACCGGCCATTATGCAAACTAGCTATGCATTATGTGCCCATTCAAGTTTCAGGGCGCATTATAAGGGTTTTGGGAATTGGTTTTCATATAACTCGTTTATATCAGAACTCTCTCTACCATTTTGGGAAATGGTTACTTTTACTGAAAACAAATTATCCGAAATTTTGGGGCCAGTTTTGTTTTCATGGTAAGCGGGAAAATGTAGTGTTCGAGGGGGCACATCATGTCCGCAACGGAGAGGCACTTGGGTAAATCTGGGCCTGGGCATGGGCGTCGCGAGGGGGGGGGGGGGGGGGGGGGGCCCCCCCCCCCCCCCCGGAAAAGCGCCCCCCCCCCAAAAAAAAAAGGGGAAAAGGAAGAAAAAAAGAAAAGAAAAAGAGGCGCGAAGTCATAGTGGTGTAAATTTAATGAGTAGCGGGGGGGGGGGCAAAATGTCCCTGCCCCCTCTAAACTGATAAATCGAGAATTTGTCGAGAAATACATGATTTTTTTGGGAAAAATATGTTTTGCCCCCCCTCTAGAAAAAAATCCTGGCGACGCGCATGGCCGGGGGGGGGGGGGAAAGTGCAACCCCCCCCCCCCCCCCACAATGTTTCAAATTGGCAAAGGCCAAGAAAGAACACTATTGCACATCATATTTTCAATCAATGCATAACTTATACAAGGTCATCCGCTTTTCATGCATTTTGTTCGTTTCTAATAATAACATCACACAAATTCCAAAGAAGAACATCAAAGCCTATATAACCAGTTAATATGTTGACGGTTCAGCTCATCGGGGGCTATTATGCTTTTCGAGAAAACAGTGAAAACAATATTTGATTTGATCACGAAACACAATTTCGTCAAAGGAACTCTTTATTTCTAACGATGAGTCACTTGATTAATCGTTTGAAATCACCTATATACATTTCTTTATTTCTTCTGGTGTTTTTTTTTTATACCAGTACGTACGATCTTTAATATAAATAAGTTTTTTTGATAATAATTCGGTAGGTTACTTTTTGGATCAATGCTATTGATCATAATATATGCCTTTAATATTATAATGCTTTGCTTACAGTACACAGGCCATAATTAAGTGTTTCGTAGGCCCTAGGCACCAGTGTTCCGTAGGCAGCTACTCCGTCCTATGCTATTAATGTACAAAGCACTGTATAGCCTTGGTCAAGGCGCTAGTTGTTATTCATCCGGCTGTAACGCGGTAAACGATATCTTCGCTAGCGCTATGCATGCAATCATAATTATGTCTATGCATGCAGTGCATTAAATACAGCGGGAACAGCGACCTCACGCGGCCACTATTTTTATGCAAATCAGTTGGACCCAATCTAGCGCCTTGGTTCAATCGTCCATGTGAGGTTTTGGGGGTGTGTTCATTATGTTAATAGCCTTAGCTGACTTTAAATGTCGTTTTCTTATTGGTTGCGTGGAAACTTGCATAGTGAAACGTGGCACCGTACATAATCCATACACGTACACGTTGTGTGTCTCTGCACACGGCACCAATGCACAAAAACTGTGGTTCCTGTCACGTCCGCAAAAGATGAATAGCTGCAAATACAACCTCGTCCCCAGGGTGTCGACCAGTATGCGCCCACCACTACCTGCTCTCTCACCCTGGTATTGGATGTGCCAGATTGCATGTGCCAGATTTTTGCACACGTATGCAAATTAGGAACAGTCTGGTGCCTGGATATGCGTTACACATTAGCGTTTGTTTTTGTATGCGGTGTCTGGGGTAAAAACAGAGTCAATTCGTAGCAGCGCGAGCACGGCGTGAGTTACGAAAACACGATTTTTGAAATCAAACTGTTACGATCTAATCGAGAAAACATGCAGTATCATATTTCATATTAATATGAGCAAATTGGAAAGGAAATTAGTATTTTCGAGAAGGCGTGGACGAATGATCGCGAAAACACGTACTGCACGTTGTGAATATATAGCACCAAGTACACAATAAAAATCCATTACTAGCCAATTGCGGTATCCAATCAGGATACAGGAAGAAAGTTTCCTATCCAGGGTTTACTATTGGAAACACGGTTGGAAATAAAGTAAGCACTGGGGACGAGGTTGCTGCAAATAATTTGATGACGTCCGGATTTACCAAGGTGTGATTGGACACTCCACATATTAGCCCCGCCTACACTTATCTGTATTCGCATACGAGGTCGTGCGCTAGAAATCCAGCGCAAAATAAAGAAAAACATAAGCTTTTGCCGACGATTGAACCAAGGCGCTAGATTGGGTCCAACTGATTTGCATAGAAATGGTGGTCGCGTGAGGTCGCTGTTCGCGCTGTATTTTTAATGCACCGCATGCATAGCGCTAGCGAGGATATCGTTTATCGCTCTACGGCCAGGATGAATAACAACTAGCGCCTTGACCAAGGCTAAGCACTGTACAAATCAAGCCAGGCCAAACTGGTATAGGTCATAGCTCTAAAAGCCTGTTTTCATAAAAGGCGTCATTCGCTTCTCAAAAGTGGGGATAGTAGGCATACATGCAATCCCCATTGTGTATCTTGATCAGAACTTATGCGAGTGTGAAGCCTAAACGGCGTGTGGTTCGGGGCCCGCTTATTGGATTCTAGAGGCTCTGTACGTGGTGCGATCAGAGGCAATTTTTGACCACTTTTAACCCAATTTGTTTCATCATTTAAACATCATTTTCGAGTTTGGAGACATTTAATTAGCTATTTGGAGCTATTGAATCAAATGTATGCCACAATTTATTACTCGGGAACGAAAATAGTTGGGGGACGACATGTCCCCCCGTCCCCCACCGATCGACACCCGTGGTTGTCTCCGTGCTTCAGAACGACAGACTAGACTTTACACGTAAATATTATACTCCCGTATACCTACATGTAGGGCCTATGCCAAGATGCTGTACAGCGTCAGTTGGTGAAATCGAAAATTCTGAAAGAGAAACCTTAACAAAAAGTTTTCTCTGTGTAAGGCGTTGGTATTCGTGTTCATGGTGTAAATCGAGGACACGCACGTACAACATCATCGATGAATTGAGGACAGGAACCAAATCGAGAACGACCTCGATTAGAAAACGTGTACAAAACCAATGAGAGCTGTTGCAAAAAAGTTAGAGTATAAACAAAGGAAAAGGGGAGAGGATCAATAGAAAATCCTCGAGTTACACCATAAACAAACCTGCGTGTGTGTGTGAGTTTGTTTCTGCATTCCGGGGGACGTTGAACAATAGATGACAAAATAATAGGGTCCCCAATTCCCAAAGGTCCCCAATTTGGCAATCGTGCACAAAATATAATGGGAGGTCTTCCTAAAAAAAGTACAAACAAAAGAGGGGCAATAGGGGTCCCGATTGCAAGCAAATACACACTTGTGTGTGTAGGTCCTTTTTATGTGCTTTATGGCATACCGCGGTATTTTCGTAGGCCCCCAAATGTTTTCGTAGGCCCCCCAATATTTCGTAGGCCCTAGGCACAGTGCCTGCTGTGCCTATTGGGTAATCCGGGCCTGACGGGACAGGGCTCGCGTTATTGTTATCAATAATTGTTTTGGGGGGTTAATATATATATACACATGGTAATAATTTAGGTAAGCTGCCGGCAGTTCGTTCCAATTAACGTTTCGATAAGACAGTGGGCTCTCGGGACGCGGTCCGTGACTAATCTACACGTTTTTATCTTTCATACTGGAATCTTTCTCCAACCTTTGCATTGTTGCTAAAAATGGTGAGCATTATGTAACATCTGTATACATTGGCAGATCACCGAACATACACCAAGTGATGTTTAACCACTGCAAGATGCCAGAAATAACATCAGAAAAGTTGATAGCCATCGTTTAATCCTGTTTTTTTAGCATTACGAAGATAAGACTCGATGTACATGTACAATGTATATCTGTATGCAAACGCGCATAGGCTCTGAGTGAAGCGCATACTCAGTGCCATATTAGCACCGGTTCACATCAGTTTTCCCTTCCCAGATTCATCTCTCTCCCTTTGTCTCTCGATCCTGAAGCTGAAGCTTCATCAAACCACGTAGAAATGGCTGCCAATCCCTTGCTGTCGCTGCTTCCTGCAACCATCAACGGTAAGACCCATACCGAACTGCTGCAGGAGATCCAGGAATTCAATGCATTGAGGGGCGTACATGAACTCGACGGTAATCACTACGCTTGGCTCATGCCAAGAGATAACTTCGATGCACTCAAAACCTTCCAAGTTCGAGATGATGACATTTACATGGTGACATTCCCAAAGTCAGGTAAGCTAAATGCCCATGGGAGCTCTTGTCCCTATTGACCGACGGGCCCCTGCTCCGGGCACGGTGCACCCTCCCTAGCCCTCCGCCCCTCTTTGTTACTCGTGGGCAAATTATAATCCACTAACGTGAGACAGCCGCTCTTTATCAGTTACAGAATGACTGACACACTCAGAATCGGGACTGAATTTCCTCCAAAACGAATTTAGGCCTACTTGTATTTAAAACGGTTCTCGTTTTATTTTAAACTGAAACCAAATCCGTTTATTACCTCCACCAGTGCACCACGGAGGTTATGTTTTCATAGGATTTGGTTAGTTTGTTGGTTGGTTTGTTGGTTGGTTGGTTTGACTGTTAACAAGATAGCTCAAGATAGTATGGACGGATTTGCAAGACATTTTTTAGGGGTTGGTCCTTGGGTACAAGTACAAATCGATTTGATTTTGGAAGTGATCCGGATCTGGGTCTGGATCCAGGATTTTTTAATGATTCTTCACCATTAATATTCGAGTATTTTTTTGGTAGTACTGACAATATGGCAGGGAATTGTTGGTGGAGGTTTGCACTCTTTGAGTGCTTTCTAGTTAGACATCTTACCATCTTGTTAAAAGGACTGTTCGTGCTCATTAACGACGTTTATGTAGTTTTCACTTTGTCTGTTTTATCTTAACGATTCATCTTTTTAACAAAGTAATCCCCTGCGAGTAGACTTGTTTGCTGTCCCACATTATAAGGGACGGCAACTGACACTGGCAGCCCACCCTGCGCGAACTGATTTATCATCAGGCCTCAAACTCATTCGAAAATAAAAGTACATTTTTCTCCTAAAAGGGACTCACTGGCTCGGAGAGATAATTGACTACGTCATGAGCGAAGGACGGGACGATTTTGACCGCACCAACATGTCGGCTGTGCTTGAGATCACCATGGAAGCCGACCCGTCGAAATTTGCAAGTGCCACTCCTGGTTACAAGATCTTAGAAACGATGGCATCGCCTCGGATAATGGGTACGCACTGCCTGCCGAACCTGCTTCCTCCACAGGTCATGGACAAAAAACCCAAGGTAACTTCTGCGGCCATTCTTTGGACGCGTTACAACTTACACCCCAAATTTAGCAATGGCCCAAACTATAGTGGAACCACCCATAAATTATAGCTAGGACGACTGCTATAAGTTTAGTTGTAACAGACTCATTCCAACGACAATAGTTCGATGTTGGGAACCCTTCACCTCTCAATCATGATGACCTAATTGTCAAAAGCTATAGGTATAACACTGGCGTAAATACATGTTGTTTCCAATATTGTTGTTCTTTACCCAGATGTTTTACTTGGCTCGGAACCCCAAGGATTTGATGGTATCCTACTTCATCTTCATCAAACCATTCCTGACTCCTACACTTCAGACGTGGGAGGGATTTCTGTTTATGTTGGTTGCTGGACAGAGTAAGTAGACCTCTTACTGTGGTTTTGCGTCGTCGGTTTTCCTCATTTCGCCTTTATACAATATATTGTTAGGCCTTAGTGCAGCGCTGCGTAGCTAGGGGCGGGGGGAGGTCGTTGGGGGGGGGGGCACTAACGCCCCATAAATAATAATCGCCCCCCCCCCTCCGGTCGGCCCACACTGGAAATTTGGCAATCGGAGAAAATGTGCAGAAATCAGCAATACATTGTCTTACAGTGACCGTGAACTAGTTTTAAACAGCGCCCTCATTGAAAGATGGTGTCCAGAGGCCCCCGCTATTTTAATTTATTGAGGACGGGTGTCCGGTGAAAAAAACCTGTCTACCTTTCAGCACGGATGAAATTGGGCTCCCCTCCACAGTAACATCCATCCAGTCCCCCCGCACTCCTTCCCCTCCCCCCCCCCCCCCCCCCCCCCCCCCCCCCGGATAAGAACCCTGGCTACGCCGCGCCGCTGCCTAAGATAAGTGCCGTTAAAAACTGCAGCCTTGGATCTAGACACTATAATAGTCGATGATTTGCCAACAACTGCATGGTATACAGCAGAAAGGTTCATTCATTAATAGCAAAACTTCGTCTAGTCAGCGTGGTTTTTTTTTACAGATGTTAAAGCTCAGCGAGCAATTATTGAAAGAAAAACGGATTATTGCTTTCACATTGTTTCATTGATTGTTGTGCTAAGCGTGATTGATCGTGTTAGCAGATATCCTTACATTTTTCTTTCTAATCGAGCAACGTGACTGTACGTCTTAATGTAGCGCCCTCGTTTTCTTGCCTCAGTGGTCGGCGGGTCTTGGTTTGATCACGTGCTAAGTTACTGGGAACGTCGGAATGATGACAATTTGCTGTTCCTAAAATATGAAGATCTTCACAAGGTAAATGTAATTCGATTTAAATTGGGTTTCCCTTTGTGAACTCTGCCAAGGAGGTTATGTTTTCCCCGGCGTTGGTTGGTTTTTCCCCGGCGTTGGTTGGTTTTTCCCCGGCGTTGGTTGGTTTGAGGATAACTCAAAAAGGTATGGACGGATTTTCATGAAAACAATTTTGGGGTGGTCCTTGGTACAATTATAAATCGATAAGATTTTGGAAGTGATCTGAGTCTGGATACAGATTTCTTATCCCAGAATTTTTCACCCATCATTATGGATATTTTTCACCCTGTGTGATCGACCAGCTTCGTGGGCGTGGCACTGACCCGGTGACCCTGTATGCCTTATCACCCACCTAATCTAACCACACAGGTCAATGGACTAGACCATTTTATACAATGGGGGAGTGGAAAAGTAGACCAACACAGGCATATACATGTAAACTACAACATGTTTGAGTTTAGGGATGTGTTTTAGAGACCAAATTTGTGCATTGGTGCTGTGCGTATAATGGCGGGAAATTGTTTAGCCTTGGCGGAGGTGTGCACTCTCTGAGTGCATTATTTTGGTGGTTTTCCGTTCATTGAAATGTTTTGCCGATAATGTTGAATTCGTTTTAAAGGCCATAATCGAGTACACAATAATTGATCGCACATATGCCGGCACGTTTATTTTTCTAATCATTTATTACCACAGGATCTGAAAGGAAATATTCGCAAAGTTGCCGCCCACTTGGGGAAGAATTTGTCTGATGACGTCATCGATAAGATTGCAGAACGTGTGACCTTAGCCGGGATGCAGAAAACGTATAAAAATATAGAGGAAGCCCATGGCGAAAAGGGGAAAAAGATGACACACTTGTTTGGAATGGCGCCATACTTGAGGAAAGGTGAGGTCTTACAGAAACTAAAATCCAGGGTTTTTATATGTCTTAATTCTGTGGTAACAGGTGGTACATGTATATGGAATATTTTATATATGAGATTTTAGTTTGCAATGAACTGTCGAGATACGTGATCAACAGGTACAGCTTTACATTCTACAGGTTGTCCCACACAAAAAATATCAGTTGAAAAAAAAACAATTCATAAAGGTATATTGCATGCAGGTTTGGGACTAATTTCAAATTGCATTTGAAAGTCAGTTAATCCAATCTATCTACCATACAAACTTTATTTCATTCAAATCGATGCATTGGCACAAACGCCATGCTTCATTGAACTCAAGGGTTGAAAATCGTCTTGGGCCACTTTCCTTGAAAGTGAGAACGGGCAGTTAGAGAAACACACAAAGAATGTATTTCCTTTGTTCAACAATCGTGACTTATTCTACCGACTTTGATCTGTAAACTTGATAAATAAAAAAATGTTGCGCAAGTGGTTTTTCAAAACCCGTATTGCGATTGCTGTATCTTTTGAACAAAACATCCTATTGAAACCAACAAAAAAAGCATTTGGAAGACCAATGATTCTGCTCAGCAATTACATTAGACAAACATGCCCGATTCGACTGTTATGATTATAGGGTAATTGAAAAAAGATGGACATTTCTTTGTTGATATTAGCATGATATCTCTTCTTTTGTTCTTGCAATAGGTAAAGTTGGGGGCTGGAAGGAGGTCTTTACGGCTGAGCAGAGCGCCCTCTTTGACATGATTTACGCAGAAAAGATGAAGGGATCTGGTCTTGACTTCGACTTTGAGCTTTGATGCTCTGCCCTTGAACTAGAAATTTGCAGTCTTTTTTTGCAACAACTATACTTTATGTCGAAAAGTCAGTTATGAATTCTCAACAATATTTGTAACTTTAATAATGCGTAAAAACAATGGTAACTTTCATTATTTGCTCAATATTTTGAACGCCAATATTACAGACGTGCAACTTTATTTGTAAATAAACTATAAAAAAAGGCAACCGTTAACCCTGAAGGGGCCGGGTTATTTTGACCATCTCTCAGCCGGGGGGGGGGGGGGGATTCCGCCCCCCCCCCCCCCAAGATCTCGGCCATAAAGTGACGAAAAATTTTGAAAACTTGGCACATGCATAGAGCAACTCTTCCTAAACATACCCAAGAAATTTCATGACTATAGGCCAAAGGGTTTTGGAATTATGGTTAATTAATTATTCATATGTACGAATGGCAATTCTGCTCTGTGTACACGACGTATATGCGAAAATTCAGTTTTCACGGCGCGTAGCGCCGGAAAATTTTTCGCTACGCGGCAACCCGTGGTCCGATTTTTATGTTTTTGGTATCAAAAGATGCGCAAAGCTCGAGGCTAAAAAGTCATAACAGCTCGGGTCGCGAAAATTTTTTTTAGAAGCTATCACGGAAAATGTTGAGGGGGGGGGGGCGGATTCCGCCCCCCCGGCCCCTTTAGGGTTAAGGACGATGGTCGACATTATTCCTAACTAGCAGGAGCGTAACAAAATCTAGAGGTAATTTGCTCAACTTTGATGATTCAGTTAATATCAACATATCCCTCGTGAGCCAATTTGCGTATACACATTGTGCAAGAAGAATGTGAAAAAGTACATGTTCATAATATTCATTTTAATGGTTTCTAGATTTTACATTGCCTTCTTATGTATACTACCCAAAGGCAAGGGTGGCTCCAATTTTTTTGGGGGTGCCAAAAACATTCTGTTCCTCCAAAACAATTACGGCGTGCAGTGGGCTTCTGGGCCCGTTTTTTGGGATGCTCAGTAGTGTATTTTCTTTTTGGGGGGGGGGATGACCCACGTTGACCCCCCTTACCTGGATCCGCCTTTGCCCATAGGTAGATAGATTATCTAAAATATTTTCTAAAATAGCTTGGATTGATGAATATGGGTCTGTCAGAATCAATCATCAAAGACACAAATATTCATGGGTGACCGGTACAAGGCACCGGTATAGATTTACTGATAGGCCAACTATTTCACGCAGTATGAGTGTGTGAATTTCGGCACACATCACCCTATCAGCTTTGGTCCAAGATTTAGTGAACAATAAATAACACACAAAAACACGTTTTGCTAAGAAACAAGCTTCTATTATTTATCTTGCTTTCAGACAAAGGGCATTGGAAAGGAAATTAAAAAAGAAACAATTGCTTACAGAAGGAATAACATGATATTTCCGCAATAGTATATTTGGAATTAAATCAGACAATGAAGGATATAGTCACCATGTAGATTGCTCCTTGTGACGCAGTCTGATCCATCTTTTGAAGCCCTCATTCCCCGTTGAAAGTTGTCAATTAGAAGCTTAATGTTGAGTATGTTTTTTTTTCGGAGGCAACTCACTTTTACAACAAGGTGTTAGGGGGGGGGGCAAGATTTTACTACATCATGGGCGTCGCAAGGGGGGGGGGGTGCTGGGGCGCTTTTCTCCATCCCCTGGAAAAGCAAAAAGAGAGAGAGATATGAAGTATTTTATTTGCTAATAATAATTTAATACAAATTTAACAAAAATGGGCTTCTGCGGGGGGTCAATGGAGATGGGGTGGGCAAATGTGCCCCGCTGCCACCCATAGTTTTTTCACACCTTCAAGTTCATGGTCTACGAAATGCTCCGACATCAAACGGGGGGAGGGGGGCAACTATTCCGGAGGGCGGGGGCAAATGTGCCCCTTCAGGAAGTGTCATTCGATGAATCTGTCCACCTCTTTTACGAGGAGAAAGCCTTTCAGGATCTCTGATGCCACCATTACCCTAAACAAAATCAACTTCATGGATATCACTTCTAACATGTTGGAGTAGGACCACCTTTATAGGTGGAAGTGACTGCATCATTTGGCACGCCCTTTCTTCGTAAACAGATGCATTCTTGCCACATCTATATTAACCCAAGTTGCTGGTTCTGTCATGTAAAATGATTGCCAACCTCTCCACTGCAGCAATATCTGAATCGTGTATATCCTGAGAAACCTTTAAAAGAAAGCTGTAAATTCTTCAAACACATTATATTGCCTCCCCCCAACAGATCCAAAGCTAAGGCAGATGCAGTGTCGCAACCGGTTAAAGTATGAAATATTGTCAGGGCTGCTGACAGTTTCCTGGATTTTGGTTGGGGGTATAAAACACTCATCAGATATTTTGATATGCCATATGCCTTCCCAGGAAAAATCAAAGGAAAGAGAGAAAGGTGGGAATAAAATTAGGAAAAAAAGAAACTAAAGAAGAAAAAAAAGAAAAGATTGAAGAGATTCAAAGTCAATATTCTATTGCACATGGAATGCATAATTGAAGCCATGAAGCCCTTGGCAAGGGCCCTAAACTGCGGCAATATACAAACTATGTGGTTTTGAACAGTGCGCCCAAAAGTCACAGTAAATTCAGCCCCCCCCCCTATTATTTCTTTGCCCCTCACTGCCCCCCCCCAAAAAAAATAATAAGTCTGGCATTGCCACGTCTGCTGTGTATGTACTTGTGATTATGAGATCACTGTTGATCCAAGCTGGAAGGTACATTATATAATGGGTTACCAGCTTACCAACGTTGCAAGAAATCGGCCACAGAATATGAGTATTACCATTTTTTAATTATTTTTTTTGTAATGGCTGCCACGCCTCTAAAAGGGTGAGTTAGCGATGGCGCAACACCAGACGTTTTGTTTCTCATGAATATATTATAAATGTGTATGTGAAGCTTAATGCGTTTAAGAAAGGTAGGCACAATGTTTCCACAGTGGGCTGCATAATGAGTGCCCCCTCTCAGTTTTTAAAAGGTTACCACGTCTTTAAAGGGAAGATACAACATTTGCAAACATCAAAAAACGAAATGATCAAATTATCACGAAATACCTTACTGGATTGTTAGGGAATGACAGTCTAAAGCAACCTCGTCCCCAGTGCTTACTTTATTTCCAACCGCGTTTCCAATAGTAAACCCTGGATAGGAAACTTTCTTCCTGTATCCTGATTGGATACCGCAATTGGCTAGTAATGGGATTTTTATCGTGTACTTGGTGCTATTATTCACAACGTGCAGTACGTGTTTTCGCGATCATTTTCCACGCCTTCTCGAAAATACTAATTTCCTTTCCAATTTGCTCATATTAATATGAAATATGATACTGCATGTTGTCTCGATAAGATCGTACCAGTTTGATTTCAAAAATCGTGTTTTCGTAACTCACGTCATGCTCGCGCTGCTACGAATTGACTCTGTTTTTAACCCAGACACCGCATACAAAAACAAACGCTAATGTGTAACGCATATCCAGGCACCAGACTGTTCCTCATTTGCATACGTGTTCAAAAATCTTGCACCGTGCAAATGATCCAATACCAGGGTGAGAGAGCAGGTAGTGGTGGGCGCGTACTGCTCGACACCGTGGGGACGAGGTTGAGTCTAAAGCATCCTGTAAAATTGTGGCTCCTGGTGTGCTGACATTTTCAAGAAAAGTTGTATTTTTCCAACGCTGGTCGGCCGACCGGCGTTGGAAAAAACTGGCTAATTTAAAAAAACTGCTCATAATTTTTCATATTTAATTATTCCGCATTTGCTTTGCAATTGATTACACACCTGAAAAGGGGTACAAGCCTGCCAGACTGATTCCCTGACTTTACAATTCCCCTAAGTCTACAAATTGCTCCATTTCATCTTAAGTGGGGTCAGGGAACCAGACTACAAAAACATGATTGGTTTTCTTGGTTTTTTCAGCATCAACAAGCCCAAAACGTGAAACAAGTCAGTTAAACAATATTTGCTATAACATTCTAATCCTCCAAATCCATTTATTTCTGAAAATTGCAGCAAAAGCAAATGTTGTACATTCCCTTTAAAGGGAATGTACATCATTGGCTTTTGCTGTAATTTTAAAAAATGAACTATTTGAGGGGTTAGTATAATAGATCAAATATTGTTAAACTGACATGTATGAAATTTTGTGTTCGAAAATGCTGGAAAAACCAAGAAAAACAAAACTGTTCGAGTAGTCTGGTTCCCTGACTCCACTACAGATAAAAAGGATAAAAATGCCGGAAATTGTAAGGTAAGGGAACCAGTCTAGCTGGCCTGCACCCATTCATGAACATGGAACCAATAGCAAACAAAATTTGGACTGAATTAATGGTAAATTTGGAGCAGCAGTTGAAAAATAGTTAGGTTTTTCCAACGGTGGTCGGCCGACAACCGTTGGAAATGTATACAAAAGTACCATTTGAAAATGACTTTTTCGGTATTTTAAAGGTATTTCGTAACAACTTGGTAGTTTTATTTTTCGATGTTTGCAAATGTTGTATTTCCCTTTAAAAGGGTGAGTGAGTGATATGATGGCTACCACACATGATTTGTTTTCTCATGAACACATGCATGCTGGAATTTGTATCCTTGTGGAGTCATTTCTTTGTTCTCGTGTACTAAAGTTTTCGAGTTTGAAGGTGTACTTGTAAAATGCGCCTATTTTAACCAGAATTAATATCCTGGGTTGAAATTCGGACTTAATATCCCTTACATAAAATACTTCAATTTGCGATTTGAAATTCCTAGGTTTTGAGCAAAATCCATATACAATGTATCTCATTTCGTGATAACCTTTTGGAGATTCACCTATAGAAATTGCTCTGTGGAGACGTATACAATCTTTTGTGCACATGTCTCCACAGGGTACCGTGTACCAGATCAAACATTTGTGTGAAGTTTAATGCGTTTATCAAACGTAGGCACGATCTTTACATGGTGGATATGACGACCCCCCATATTTAAAGTGGCTGTCACGATTAATTCTAAAGGGGGTGAGTTCAAGTGCAGTGGCTCCCCTTTTTCCATGAATGTAAATGTACATGTTAGGTTTCATAATTTATGACAGGTGGGCACAATTTTTCCACGGTGGCCTAATGAGTGCCCCGCCCCCCACTTTTAAAAGGCAAAAAATGCACCACAATTTTAGTAGAACATGGACTATTTATTCTTTTAAAAATATTATCTATCATATTCTGGTTTCAAAACTTACTCACCTTTTACCTAGCAGCATTTTGAAACGATAATGGCCCTCG